AACGTCCTCCACAACTAGACTGAAGAACAAAACAACAGCAACTTGTCTGTTCCCATCCCCCCAATTCACCAATAAAAATCTTAAAAAAAAAAAAAAAAGAAAAACTCTGGAAGAGGGCATAGATCTACAGGGTCACCCACTTTATTGTCCTGGAGGCCCTATACCAGTTCTGTAATCCCACGGGCAGGCTTTAAGGATAACCCAGCTGGAAGTTTAATATCTTTTCTTATTCAGTTTCCCTTCCTTTTTTCTTTAATAATCCACTGGCCTTTAAATGCTGGACTCTTCAACTCACTCTAAGGCAGCGGTTCTCAACCTTCCTAATGCCGCGACCCCTTAATACAGGTCCTCATGTTGTGGTGACCCCCAACCATCAGATTATTTTCGTTGCTACTCTATAACTGTAATTTTGCTACTGTTATGAATCGTAATGTAAGTATCTTTTTGTTTTCCGATGGTCTTAGGCGACCCCTGTGAAAGGGTGATTCGACCCCCAAAGGGGTCGCGCCCCACAGGTTGAGCACCGCTGCCCTCAGGCCTCAGGCCTGGACTTCGTTCCCCTCTGGGTTGGAACAACCAGCAGCCTTGGATCATTCTGTGGACCCAGGTCATCTCTGCTGGAGGCCCAAGCCTGGAGAAGATGGACAAAGCCGTGCCCTCACAGGGTGGGAGGATGGGCTGGCACTCACCCTCTCCTCTTCCCTCTCCCCTCTGTCCCCGGGGCAGCCCAGCATGCACCCCCAGATTCTGGGTCAGTGAGACCTTGGTCTGCCCAGGCTTTTCCTAAGGAGGAAGGGCAAGGTGGCTTTCAGCTCTTTAGACCCAGAGCAGGAGTCATACCCCACCGGCAGGTGTTGCTCAGACCTCTCTGGGCCTTCCCCACCATCCTGCCTCTCTCTGAGTGCTGGAATATATCAAAAGAGGCCACTGGAGTTGTTGAGCAGATGGGTTTTTTGCAGTCATGAACTCCCAGCTGGGGCGTCAGGGGAAGAAAGGAGGGAGAGGCATGCTACAGCCCAAAGCTGTGCTGACTTTTGCAATCTCCTGAGTGGGGCAGATGAGGCAAGGACATAGCCACAGGTTCAAGATCAGGCCAGAGCAGCAGTAGGGGAGCCTTCCTGGAGGAGGCAGGATTTGAGGATGGCTTGGAGAGTAAGAGGTATTCTAGTCCCAAATTGAGAGGAAGCTTGGGCCCTGGCAAAACTGTGAATGGGTACAAGTTAGGCTCTGAAGGCATGAAAAGTGGGAGCGAGGTAAGCACCCACCTATAGGAAGCCAGGTCTTGGGCTTTCTCGTGGCCCGGGCACTGCCCTACTCTCCACACTCAAGCCCCACTGGAAGGAAAGTCAGGTAAACCAGCACCCACTGAGGATCCCCCTTGGCTGAGGAAAAGCCACTTCACCTTCCTCAGAATGCTGATATCTCAGACATGGTATGTGATGACAATGAGCTGAGGCAGCTGCCTCTCTACTCTGATAGAAATGCACTGAAAATCCCTGGAAATGGGATGTCAAGGGTATAACAACATCAAGCTTAGAGCCCTGGCAGATAGAATAAACAAGAATCAATTGTAATATTCCAGCTAGTGATGTTTCCTTTTCCCACCCTTCAGGACCCACTCCGCCCCCCAAAATCAGGGGATGTGTACTTTAAGAGAAACTCTGAGGGAGAGCAAGGGTTGACCTAGAGGACTGTCCTTGTAATGGTGGCATTTCAGGTACTGTAACAGGTTATGCATAGATATCTGAGCTTGGGGCCTTCTTTACACAACTGTTATCATACCACACCCCTTGGGCAAATGCCCACCCCAAGGCCAGTCCTGCTTGCTGAGCTATCTCTGTTCTCTCCCAAGAGTGAGTGGGGTGGGGGCCACCATCAGAGGGGCTTGCTGGCCCAGCAGGTCCCACGCGGCCAGGCATGTGCGGTTCAGTGGCCGGCTGAGGCCTAAGCAGAGGGGACAGCAGTGCCTTTCCTGAGACAAGTGGGAAGAAGGTGTCAGCTATGGCTGACCGAGCGGTGACCCAAGGCCCAACACAGAGCCAATTAGCAGCCACCACAATGGTGGTGGGCTTGCTGCAGCTTCCACAGGAAACCCCACGTGCAGCCAGCGTGTCAGGCTGAGTTAGCACCAGGAGGGCTGAGTGGAGTCCAGCTGGAGGCTGCTTGGATTGGGGGAACGTGGGTGATAACGCTTCCCCCTGGGCTCTGGAGCTGGGCCAAGTAAGACACATGAGCATGCACGTCTCTGTCCGCAAGCTTGTGTGCATGTGTACCTGTGCGTGGTGCATGTGTGCACATGTTCATCATTTAGGACCCATGCGTCACATGCATGTACATGCCTGCCCGTGTTCACTCAGTATGTTTCGTGCACACTTTGTGTTTACTTCATGTGTGCTAGGAATTCTGGGACAAAACAAGCCCAAGTCCCTGCTCTCATGAGGCTTACATTCTAGTGGGAGAGACAGAAAAGAAACAAATACACATTCACTATATTGACATGTAGTATAAAGTGCTATGAGGAAAGGTAAAACAGGAAATGGGATAGGGGTTGCTATTTTAGAGTATGATCAGGGAGGGCCTCTCTGAGGAGGTGACCTTGACCTGAACAAGGAGAAGGCAGCCTGGTGAATATCAGGAGAAGGACTGCAGACAGAGGGCAAGGAGTGGAGCCAGAGTGAGAAGGGCTGGACTTCTACCAGGCTGCTGGTGTGTGTGGCGTTGACAGGAGGAAAAGAAAGGTGCTACAACTGGAATGACATCTGACAGTCCAGACAGCAGGACAGCCCTCAGTAAGAACCGACAAGCCCAACTCAGCTCCGAGGGACAGCTCTGATCCCTCCCCAAATCCAGTCCCACTGCTCAGCACACAGAGATCTCCGCTGCTTGTGCCGGGCCTGGCACCATCCCCATGTGGGCACCCTCAATCCGGCTGTGTCCACATAGCAGCTGGACACTGCCCAGGGAGAGAAAACAGGACCCTGGCCCCCAGGCTTGACCATGGGACCAGAGCCCCAGTGGCCAAAGGCAAGGCTGCCTATGGATGCCCTGATGTATGTGTGTGACCTGCTGGCAGATGGTGTGACGGCACTGCTGAAACACCAGAGGGGGATGCTGGAGACCCCAGACTAGGAAGCCTCTGCCCAGACTTTCCTTTGGGAGGCCTGGCATGGTACAGCAACGGGGGCTGGGCCTCAGGGAAAACTGGAAGCCTCTCCTGCCCTCACTGCCCTGCTCACCTCTCCATGGAAGGGGTAGGCCGCAGACCCCAGCAAAAGTGCTGAAAACTAGCTTCAGACTTGGCCTTTCATTTTCCAAACGCTGTAGCTCTGGGACAGAGAACCTCGTAGGCTCAGGAGGGGAGCTGAGCTGGCCTCAGAAGGCCTCCAAGGAGAAATTAGGTAGATGAAAGGAAAGGAAAGCGGATGGATGGGGCAAACTGTTGCCACCACGCTAAACCACCCTAAGGCTTCCTTCAACCTGGGAAGATCGATTTGGGTGTCTCAGGATGATGTCAGGGGTGACACCTGTGTCTCTCTGTGTCTCACTGGGAACATGCACCTGTGGGTCTGCTTGTACTTGTGTGTATTTGGTGTCTAGGTCAGTCTAGTAGCTTCCTGATTGTTTCTGTCGATGAGTGAGTCCCATGTGCCTATGTGTCCACCTGTGACCCCCTCTGTGGCCCCACACACGCTGCCTGGCTGGGCCCTCTCTGTGAACGTGCCTTTCTGGGCGTGAGTGCTCAAGATATCCTGAGGTTTGTCACCTGTCAGCCTCTGAAGACTGTAACACCCTGTTCCCTAGCCTGACCCTGAGGCTCTCAGGGGAGAAGCTGCCTGTTCCACTCTCGTCAAGGCTGGAGATGAAGTTGGCAAGGAGAAGTGAGCTGCGCTCTGAACATGTGACTGTGCTGCTTTTGGTTGGCAGAGATTTGCACTTAGCTTTGCTTTCACATCATTATCCACCCACACACCCACCCCCGCTGCTGTACAGCTAGCCAGACCAGCAGCCCAAAAACAAGTCACACACTGACTCTGGCCTCTCACTGACCTCTGCCTGTGGTTTCAGACCCTTGTCACTGCTGCTGCCCACCCTGAAGGGGCATGGAGGGGGTTGGTGAGGAAGGGCAGGCAGGTTGGCTGGGACAGGCAGTGGGACTGGGATGGGCATGTCATCTGGTGTGTTGGGTTCAGAGATTTCAGCTTTAGGAGAAAATTGAGAGGTAATCTAATCCCCTTCCCCAGTTTATCCATTCCAGCGGCCACAGTTGCATCTTTGTGTGTATGTGAGAGACAGCGTTCCTGCTCTATCTGACCTGACTCTCTTGGGACCCTCCTAAAAACGGGCCCCTCACTGAAACCTTGGAATGGGGAGGTGAGAGAGAGGGGCTCTCGGCGGCACCCAGTGCACTGGCTTCCAAGTATCTCTACATGCCTAGCCCGGGGTTTGGCCAGGCTGGCAGTGGGCAGGCATGGGTCTCACAGACAGGCTGGGAGGCAAGGGGTCAACTGGAGAGCTCAGTAAGAAACCCAGAAGTCACGAGGAGGCAGTAAATGAGTCTGGTGAGGACTGTGGACTCTGGCTACAACCAGGAGGTAAGGGAAGACGGGGGTTAGAACGGGCCGGAGCACTCAGGAAAGCTTCCTGGAGGAGGGATGTGAAGTGGGTCTTGAAAGACTGGTAGGAACTGGGCAGGCAGAGAGAAGGGGCGGGAAGAGCCCTGTGAGTGAGGCAAGGGTGGGCGGAGAAGGGTCCATGCAGGGCAGGGGGCCAGGATGAGCAGGGTTCTGGAGGGTTCCAGAACTTGACTCGGTATCTTTCCTGGGGTGAGGGGTGGGGTGTCAGGAAAGCCCCAGGGGCTTTCCCTTTGCTGGGTAAGGGCTGGAAGGAAGGGAAGAAAGGAAGGGTAGGCTAGGCAGGGCTGACTGACCACACATGAAGGCCCCTCTACCATCAACGTCTCCACAGATCTACCAGACAGGAGGAGGTGGGTATGGGTACTCAGGACTCTAGTGACCCCATGCTTTCCTGTGCTTTTCTTTGCCCTATGGCAGAGGTTCCCATCCTGGCTGCCTTGTTGAAACCCTGTGCAAATGGAGAACTTGAAAAACTGCTCCTGCCTGGATCCCAGCCCAGAGAGTCTGATTCCATTAGTCTGAGGTCATTACGTTGCGCAGCCAGGACCCAGGACTGCCCAACTCAGGGTTTGACAACGAGTATGTCAGCAGTGGAACAGATGGGGCCCAAGCTTCAGGTCAGTGTCTGTTGAGTTCTGGGAACCTCCTCCCCTGGGGCAGTTAGGACTCTTCAGTTGCAAGAGACAGAAACTCAGTGGTGCCTTGTAGAAATCAAGGGTGAGGAGGAAGCTGGGGTAAGAAGGGCCTGAACTGGGATCTGAAAGGCCTAGGCCACACCCCACTGACTACCTTACTCACATATCAGCCCAGGGCCTTTGTTGTCATTCACATATTGGGCTCGTGAGTTGACATCTTAATGGCTAAGTGCTACATACTATTCCAGGGTGCTCTCTCTGGCCCACTTTCCAGATCTAGGAAAGAGAATTTGTTTGACTAGTTTGGGTCAAGGATCCTCCCCCCCACCCCCACCCCGCCCCAAGGGTTGTAGTGTGATCTGGCAGAAATATGGCTCCAGGGGCCAAGCCCTGTAGGCAGGATGGTTCTTGTGTGCCAGGCCCTGCGCTGGGCCCTGGGAACACAAAAATGAGCACACTTCCATGGCTTCCTCAGTGAATATTTGAGGTAGGTCTTGAAGGATGAGTAGGAGTTTGTCAGGTGGAAAAGTGGGACAGGGTGCAATGGACGAGGCTGGGGATTCTGCTATCTGAGGCAAGAACACCACGGAAAGAGAAGGAAACTGCCGCCTCTGTCTCCATGTGACCAGAAAGGGAAAATGTCAAGGCAAGGAGGGGTCCCCATGGGGCACCATGCTAACGTGTTGTTTGCGTGTCACGTGCATCATGCTTTTTCCTCCTACTATCCACCACCCACCCCTCCAATGGTTGGGCCGAGGCTGATGACAGAGAGCTTTGTTTTGTTTTGTTTTTTGTTTTGTTTTGTTTTGAAAAGCAGGGCCCATTGCTGCTCTAAACAAAATAGAGGTCCTGTTAGTTAGGAAAGGCAAAGAGGAGATTCGGCAGCAACCCCTAAGCCTACACATATTCATTCCCCTTTAGTGTAAGTGCCTGACTCGCACACCACAGAAGCACAGGGGAGGTGATGGGTATGCCGCCCATGAACAGTTTTCAAAAGCAGGAGGAGGCAGACAAAAGGATGTGGCAGGGTTCCCTCTGAGGAATGGCAAGGAGAGGACTTGGGGGGAGTGTGTGTGTGTGGGGGGGGGGCGGGGAAGTAGATCTGAAAAGTGGATAACTTGAGACACTGTATCTCTTGGGAAAGGCATTCTCATGTGTGAGGTCTTTCAGCCCTCACTGGGCAGCCTGAGAATGGGCCTTGGGCCTGGAACACTTCCTCACCAAGAGACAAAGAGCCCACACAGTCCGTACAGGGCTTATCAACTTGTGTGGGCATGTCTTCCCCTGTTTCAGGTTCAGTGTGTGATCCTTTGTTCTGCTTATCCCTATCCATCAATGGCCTTCAGGCATGCCCCAGCTTTCAGTATTTCCAACTCCATGGAGGAGGGGCTTGGGGTCCTTCTGCTGTGGCACAACAGGAGTGCACATAGGTCAGTTGCCCTGGGTCAGCTGTACCCACTGTTGGGGGCATCCACTGGCATAGGGACGCCCACTGCTGGAGCTGGTCTCACGCTGCTTCTTCTCTGCATGAGTAAAGTGTTGTTTCATCCAGTGCTTGACTGGTGTGTTTTCCTGGGCAGCTCCAACACTAAGGTGCAGAAGTGTTGGGACTTCTATTCTGGCGCCTGGCACTGTGATGATCTGTGCTGTCCTCCACATAGTTGGAGTCTTCCCTCCCTTGGCACTGGTTACCAGTGCCTGATGTTCTGCTCGACAGGATCTCAGCGGGTAAGCACGTGGGTGCTAGTGTCAGGAAGACTGAGGACTGGGGTGACCAACTTGTCCCATTTTGCCTGTGACGTTTCCAGCCATGACCCTGAAAGTCTGGTGTCCTAAGCATACCAACACCGTTGGTCACCCAGCCTGGGGCTAACTAGCTGTGGGAATTTGTTCAAGTTACCTAACCTCTCTGTGCCTTAGGTTCCTCCTCTGTAAGTAAGATGGGTATGAAAACAATTCCTACTTTGTAGAATTTTTGTGAGGATTAAACAAGTGAGTTTCTATAAAGGACCGAGCTCAGTGCCTGGTATGTTCAACAAATATTAGCTACAAATAACAACATTATATAAGATATGTAGACTTTTTCTGGGTGGTCCCAAGAGGGAAAGCTTGACCAATCTGCTCAGTATTAGGAGAAATTTCCTCACGGGTCATGGGGTACTAACTTGCTAAGATGTTCAAATATAGGCTGATTGGGGCCTGCTTTGTGAAATGGAAGATAAGACTACTTTCCTCCTGGTACTGCAATGCCTTAGTTCTCTGATACAATCATCTCACCCTTTTCTCTTTTTTTTCCCTGAGGAGGGAGCTAGCTTGTCAGAGGGAGCTGTCCCTTCTCTCTTCATCCCGAATTCCTGTCGTGGAAGACCACTCAGAGCTGCTTAAATAACGACAGGGAGACATTCCAGCCATGACTCCAATGATCAGCATTATGCCAAAGGCAGAGGCAACACGCATGGCTCCCCGCTGTCCTGGCTGACAGGGCTGCCACTGATTCTAGAAGAGGAGCTTCCAGTCCTGGCTGGACCCCCATCAGCCACTGCTCTACTGTGTGTGTGTGTGTGTGTGTGTGTGTAGAGAGAGAGAGAGAAATGGCTCTGCAAAAGTCTCATGTGATATGTGCAAAGTTCCAGACTGCTTCCCTTCCCTCGCCTTGTTCTTTCCTGTCATTCCCCAATCTCACACCCTCTCCTCACTCCCACTTCTACCCCTGCCCACTACATGGTCCTCTCAGGCCAAGCAGCGTAGCTGAAGACAATGCTGAGGCAATTACTAGAGCCCTTTGAGTACTTCTCACTAGAAAGCTCTTTAACTCAGCCACGTGAGTTGGGGCTCCAGGCACCTGATAGGGATGGGGGAGAAGAGCCAGGCACACCAGGGCAGCTGCTTGGGGCGGGGGGCGGGGGGAGGGCGGAGGCCTAGCAGAGAAACAGGGTCAGGAGGTCTAGATTTCAAGGACATACGGGTTATGTGGACATAGCAGTTGGCATCGTTTTCATTGTTTGTGGTTCGTCTCTTACTAGAATTTTGCTCTGGCTAACCTGCTGCCAAAAGTGAACCTGCATGGACCATCACTGGAGGAAGTTCTCCCTAGGATGTGGGCACCTTAGAGAGGGGACATCAAGTGGTGATGTTGCTATGTGTTAAGAGTGGAGTGGGGTGGGAGGTACATGTCTTTAAAACCTCCTACCCAACACTGTGCTTCTGTTGGTGCTGATGAGCTGGTAGGGAAAGAGCTACACAGGGGGAGAAGAATATAAGAAGAGAAGAGGGACCTGGGTTTCTAGCCTGTCTCTGCCTGTCTCTGACTTCATGGTGTCTCTCACAACAACCATTGTTTGTAGCCAGGCCAGGCAGGGGCAGCAGAGGCCCACATGCTGCTGTGGACCCTGTCTCCAACTGTGTGTGTGTGTGTGTGTGTGTGTGTGTGTGTGTGTGTGTGTGTGTGTGTGTGTTGGGCGCCTGACCTCCTGGCGCTTGCTCTAAGACTGGCAGGGGAGTCCCTAATTGTCTCTCAAACCTCATGCAGGCTTTGAAGGGGCCCAGGCTTTGGTCCTGTCCAGCTCCTCTGACAACACTAGAGGGCATCAGCCAACATAGCCAAGCACAGAGAACTTCTTCAGTACAATTGCACTCTGCAGCCTTTTCATGTCATACTTCTCTGACCTTCCCAGCCTGTAGGGATGCACAGGCCCCAGTCACATGGGCCATGGGGACCACAGAACCAACTAAATGTCTGTGCCTGGCCTTGGGTCCAGTGAAGGTGTAAGTCTGTGAGAGTGTGAGAAGGTGAGTTAGTGAAGAAACTGGAGGAAACCAAAGGGAACCAGAGGTGGCCAAAGCCAGAACCCTGAGGTGTACTCATTAGCTCCTGTAAGGATAGAGGAAGAACTAGAAGAGGAAGAGCCAGGAACCAAGCAGTCTCTATGGAGATAAAGCAGGACCCAGCCCACTGGCCAAGTGGCACATGATACCTAGGCAGGCAGGATTACCCTGCAGCAAAGGCAGGTGGCTTTAAGAGACCAGAGAAAACCATGTGGCTCTGGAACCAGGCTTTCCAGATTCAAATCCTGGCTCCTCCAAGTACTAGCTATGTGACCTGAGACAAGGTATTGCATCTCTCTGTGCCTTGGTATTTTATCCATGAAATGAAGACAATAATAGCACTATCTCCTATGCTACACTATCTCCTATGCTACATGTGAGTATTAAATGGGTTAATACATACAAATCACTTAGAACAGTGTCTGTCACAGAGTAAGAACACTATAGGGCTGGCCGAGTGACACATTGGTTAGGAGTTGGATTGGGACCCCAGCTCTGAGCAGCAGGGCACTGGTTCGGATCCCACATGAGGGCCAGTGATGCTGCGCCCTCTACAGCTAAGATGGTGAACAACTGCTCGACCTGGAGCTGGCTGCCATGAGTTGCCAGCGACGGCGTAGGCTGCAGTGGGGCTGGCAGGCAGCGGGTGTAAGCTTTTGTGAGCTGCCGTGAGCTACCATGAGTGGCCATCCAATGGTCGGCGAGCGACTGCCTCACCCAGGAAGAGTGCAATGATAACACCAACATGGGCCAGTGAAGCGATGTCCTCCACAACTACACTGAAGAACAAAAGGACAAGCAACTGGTCTGTTCCCCTCCCCCAATTCCCCAATAAAATCTTAAAAAAAAAAAGAACACTATACATGCTAGCAGTTATTGTCTTCTGAGGAAGAGATCCATGTGATTTTGAAAGAGCTGGTTTCCCTAAACATCCTCATGAGATATACATATGGGAATTAGTCCCAACACACAGAGGTACCAAATGGTAACAAATGAGTATGTGAATTAATAAAGTTAAAAGAGTGTGTGCAACACTGAAAAAAGTGTATGTGGTTACTGAAGTCTGTCAATATGCAAATCAACAAAATTTTGAATCTATAAGCCCTTTCACTCTTGATCCTATTGAATTGAACATGGGAGCTTTTCTGGGTCCTCCAATCCTTCCTTCAAGGGAGGCTGGGTTTGCCCCTCTTGTAACCATCTGCTTAAGCACAGGTCCCAAAGAGCTTCCCTGACCCTATCTATCCTGTTGGATCTGTGGGGCAGATGAGAGCCAGTGCCTCTGGCTTGCTTCTCACTGGCTCTTAGGAAATCGTGGCTTCTCCCTTCCAGCTGTCGGAGGAAATGTGTGTCCTCAGCATTGGTTCCCCAGGCCTGTTTTTGCTCTAAGGCTGTGGGGAAGTGAAAGTGCTCAGCCCTGGAATAACAATCCTGACTCAGTCAGAGATAAACGCACTTAACCTTTTTGGGTCTCAAGTCTTCCTTATCTATAATTCTGGGGAGAAGTGGAGAATGCTTGTATATTTTCCTCCCTCTCTGGGAGGGTGATATTTAGGAAAAAGTAAGACCTACTGGATCTTAGTGTGCCTCTACTCATTGATGCTTCTGTGTCTCAAATACAAATTTCCCAATAGAAAAGACCTGGGCATGAAACTTCATCTGACGAATCAAAGATGACCAGGTCATGTGATCCAAGATTAGCCAATTTATCTGTAAGGCACCACAGTGGCTTTTCTCACAAAGGGACTAGGTAACGTTAAGAAATTTGAGGCATCCTGGCAGGATCAGCATACTATAAACCTTTTAATTTTAAACTTATTCATGAATAGGTAATACATTCCCATATATTTACACAGTTCAATATTTTATGGATATAAAAAGAAATACGGTGGAAATGCTTTCTCTTACTCTTGAACTCCACCCTTTCTCTTCCTAGGAAGCAAGCAGTTACCATTTCTAATGGATCCTTCCAGAGATATTCTATATAAAGAATTACCTATATAGATTCTTCCTCCCCATCCTTTTGCTTTTTTCACAAGGGGAATCTCCTATATGGGTACATTAAAAATATCCTCAATTGGAGGGCCGGCCGAGTGGCTCAGTTGGTTAAGAGCTCGCTCAAGAGTTTGAGCTCTGAGCAACAGCAGTTCGATGCCCGGCCCGAGCTGAGCAGCCGCTGAGCTGCCAACAGGTAGCAGGATGGCTCAGCTAAAAAACAAACAAACAAAAAAACCACAAAAAAATATCCTCAATTGTTTTTATGGCTCTGCTTTATGATGTACCAAAATGTACGTATCCAGTTTCCTATTAATGGACATGTATGTTGTTTTCAGTCTCTCCCAGTGCTGTAATGAAGATTTTTGTAAGTCAGCACACAGTCATTTAAGGTCTGACTGTTCCTTATACACATCCCTCAGGGATTCTTAAACGGGCTTGAACCCCTTAGAAGTCAACAGATATAGAATTCAGGCAGACAAACTCAAGGACCCTGGGAAGTTGGAAAGAACAAAACTGTAATCTTTATTTGCACTAACCTCTAAGTGAAATTTAACATTTCCTTCCATTAAGAATGCAAGCAACAGGGCCGGTCGAGTGGCATGTTGGTTAAGAGCTGGCTTGGGATGCCAGCTCTGAGCTGCAGGGCCCCAGTTCAGATCCTACATTAGGACCAGTGATGCTGCGCCCTTTACAGCTAAGATGGTGAACAACAGCTCGACCTGGAGCTGGGCTGCCCATGAGTCACCGGCGATGGCGTAGGCTGCAGTGAGGCTGCAGTGGGCTGTCATCAGCTACCGTGAGTGGCTGGCAGCCAGCGTGAGTTGCCAAGAGCCGCCGTGAGCAGCCGTCCAGTGACCGGCGACGAATCTGCCTCACCCAGGAAGAGCGCAATGATCATACCAACATGGGCCAGTGAAGCGACGTCCTCCACAACTAGACTGAAGAACAAAAGGACAGCAACTTGTCTGTTCCCCTCCCCCAATTCCCCAATAAAATCTTTAAAAAAAAAAAAAAAGAATGCAGGCAACAAACTCACAATAGTTAACAGTATCTGTGACTTTTTCATCTTATATGATTTAAGATATTTTGAAATATTTACACTCATCCCTACTTTGTCATTGTGGTATTAAAGGAAAGCTGTTTCTTTTCTTTTCTTTTTTTTTTTTTTTTAAGAAATTTTACTGGGGAATAGTGTGTTTTTCCAGGACCCACCAGCTCCGAGTCAAGTAGTTGTCTTCAGTCTAGTTGTGGAGGGTGCAGCTCCTTGGCCCATGTGGGAATCGAACTTGGTGTTATGAGTCTGTGCTCTAACCACCTGAGCTAACCGACCGCCCCCCAGAAAACTGTTTCTTTACTCACAACACTCCTGACACCAAATGTGTGCATTTACCCCCACACATCAACCAATCTTCCAACTCTCCGGATACCAACTGAGAGTCCTATAATTATATTCAATTCTGACACTAACTCCCTGGAGTAAGCATCAGACTCCACAAGTCTAAAGGTTCAGTCCCACAAGACTGCCTTCATTCCAGATGCCAGTCAGTCATGGGTCCCCGAGGTTCCCATGCTTCTGTCTGTCTTGGCTACAACGTTGGGAGATCCCACATACCCACCCCACCCCCAGGTTTGATAATTTGCCACAATGGCTCACAAAACTTGGCAACACTTATATTTACCAATTTATTAAAGGATATGATAAAGGATGCAATTGAGCAGACAGATGAACTGATACATTGGGTGAGTTCTGGGAAGGTTCAGAGCCTGGGAGCTCCTGTCCTCGTGGAGTTGGGGTGGGCCACCCTCCCAGCATGTGTATGCATTCACCAACCTGGAAGCTCTCCGAACCCCACAGTTTAGGGATTTATATGGAGACTTCATCACATAGGCATGATGGATTATTAACTCAATCTGTGGCCCCTTGTCCCTCCCTGGAGGAAGGGGGTGGGATGGAAAGTTCCAAGCTTCTGATCATGGCTTAATCTTTCCAGTGACCAGCCCCCATCTTGAAGCTATTCAGGAGCCCACTAAGAGTCACTTCATTGGTACAAAAGATGCTCCTAACACCCAGGAAATTCCAAGGGATTCAGGAGCTCTGTGTCAGGAACGAGGGGCAAAGACCAAATATATATATTTCTTATTATGTCACAGGTAGCTAGTTATTAGGCTTTCCATTAGCTCTGGTTATGTTATGCACTAATAAAGAAGCCCATATATTATTACATCAAACATTTAGTTTTCTAAAAAATATTTTGATATCTGTATTTCAATGTAATTTCTTTGCTTTGCCTTATGTATTTTTTAATCATGATAAACTATACATAAAATTTACAATTTTAACATTTTAAGTGTACAGTTCAGTGGCATTAAGTACATTCATAATGTTGTGCAACCATCACTACTATCCACCTCCAGAGCTTTTTCATCTTTCCAAACTGAAACTCTGGACCCATTAAACATTAATTCCCCATAAGCCCCCTACTCCACCCCAACCACCATTTTACTTTCTGTCTCTAGATACCTCTGATGAGCGGAATCATACAAAATTTGTCCTTTTGTGTCTGGCTTATTTCACTTAGCACCATGTCTTCAAGGTTTATTCATGTTGATGCAGATGTCAGAATTTCATCTTTTTATAAGGCTGAGTAATATTGCATTGTATTTATTTTATTTTATTTATTTATTTATTTATTTTTTTTTTTTTAGCTGAGCCATCCCGCCACCTGTTGGCAGCTCACGGCTGCTCAGCTCGGGCTGACTCGAACCGCTGTTGCTCAGAGCTCAATTGCATTGTATTTATATACCACATTTTGTTTATACATTCATCTGCTGATGGACATTTGAGTTGTTTTCACCTTTTGACAATTGTGAATAAAGTTATGTACAAATATCTTTGAGTCCCTGCTTTCCATACTCATCAGGATATACCTAGAGTGGAATGGCTCGGTCATATGGTAATTCTGTATAATTTTTGAGGAATATGTATTTATTTTTATACATGAAAAATATTATTCTGAGACGAGAAGCATGCCAGACTCCGGCTACACATACTTTATTTTTGAGTGCCTGTCTCAGCCACTAGATGGGGGACTTCTTGACAAGGGCTGCCGGCTCCCCGCTTCAGTAACTCTCCCAGAGGTGTATATAGTAAATGCATTCAGCGCCTACTGGGCGCCTTACTGCCCTACACTGGGCGCGCTGCAGGCGATACAAAAGTGCAGACTGTACCCCAAAGGAACTCAGCCAGAGGGAGAGTCAGGCTTGATGATGACTGATCAAAGGCGCCGCCCCAACATCAAGCCTAACTATGCTTCCTAGATGCATAACCTGAGGCAAGGTAACTTTCCTTGGCCCCAGCTCCCCCATCCACAAAATGATCTACATCATCGGATCAATATCCATCATGAACACACCGCCTAGCCTTGAGCACAACTCCTGGCACACGTTAGGCACTCAATAGTTTTGTTCGTAGGAAGAGAAAGCCCTGTGGACAACCTGCCTGGAGGCTTCTGGCCCGAGGTTGCCGGGGAGGGGGTCTTGGGGCCCTCCCCTGCCCTGGACACCCCTCCAGGCTGGCGCGGGAGTGCACAAGGAAGGGCCGGAGGCTGCTTTCCGAGCCCATGTACTGGTGCCTCGTTTCCGCCCCTCTGTACCTTCCAGCCTACCCCGGCTGCATCGCCGACCGTTTCCAGATGCCTGGCGGTCCGCGAGCACGCGCGCAGCACGGGCCAGCAGCGGTTGGCCCTCCGCGCCGCTGGGCGGCGCTAGTCCGGACCCGGCCGGGGTCGGCGCTCGGGCCGGTCTCCTCTCGGCGCCGGCGCACGGCCGTCCGCGGGGCGGGGACGCGGTAGCGGTGGCGGCGGCTCCGTAAAGCCCGAGCCTGAGAGCGCAGGCCCGTCCCGGCGGTCTGGGGGCCGGGCCGGGCGGGGCGGGGGCGCCATGTGGTTCATGTACGTGCTGAGCTGGCTGTCGCTCCTCATCCAGGTGTCCTTCATCACGCTGGCCGTCGGTGAGAGTGCGCGACCCCGGCCCGCGCGGGCTCCCACCCCGGCATCTGTGCTCGCCGGGGGTTACAGCACGAGTGCGCCGGAGCGACCCGGAGACCCCCCCCCCTGCCGGGTGCTCCCTGCCTTCGTGCTCTCCCCTTCTGACCTGCCTGGTCCTGCTCCTCCTGCTGACCCCAGCAGCCCAGCCTGACCGCGAGTCCTTCCAGGTGTCACAAAATCCGCCCCAGCAGTTCCCGGGAGAGGCTCACAAGCGCCCCGCGTCGGTGCACGGCGGACGGCGCTGAACTTTTACCCGACATCTTCTGCCGCCCTTTAGCCTTCGGGCCTTTCGAACTTCTTACTCTTTCTGACTTTGGCACGCTTCCTTCTTCGGGCTAGTTCGTACTGTTGATATCCGCTGATATCTCACCTCCTCCTGGAAGCCCTCCCTGTGGGGTTTGATGACCCACCAGTGCCCCTGCTTTCCCTAAAATAGCCCTGTCACAATGGGATTATTTGATTACCCTCCCTCTCCCCCAGCTGGGTCAGGGAAGGGACCTTGTCTGTTTCTGCACTCAGCCCAATACCTGGCCCATACTGAGTGCCCTGCAGATGCTTATTGAATGAGTGAATAAAATTCCTCTTTATGGGCCGGAAGTTAGCATTGTGCTGCGGGTCAGATAACAGGCTTCCACTTCTATGAAATCTCTCCTTAGTTGCCCTGATAGTTTTTACTTCTTCAGACTTGGGAGGGCAACACATAAGTTGTCTGGTTTGTTCCTTGCCTTCTAGAATTCATGAGGGGTTGATGAGGACCCCGCTGCAGAGAAAGGGATGACCATGATGGTGGGAGTGACACTGGGTAATGTTCTCTCTTGTTGCTCCTCTTCCTTTCCCTCCAGCGGCTGGACTGTATTACCTGGCGGAACTGATAGAAGAGTACACAGTGGCCACCAGCAGGATCATAAAATACATGATCTGGGTAAGTGGCAGCCTTCCCCAGGGTTCCCCCTCACTCTTTTGCCCTGCCTCAAAAGGAGGACGTGGGGAGAGTGTGGCATGGATGATGAGACCTCTGTCCCTGCTGTTTGCTGAGGGTACTGCCCCTACCTCCCTGCCCTGTACCTTGTCCCCTGGGGCTGCTCTCCTGGGCCCAGGTCTTTCTTTGCCTCCTTCCCCAAGTGGCAGCGCTTCACTGCAGACCCCATTCTCGGTTCCTTAAGGTGACAGCTGAGTGCACATTCTCTGTTGACGGGACCACGGCTTTGCCTTTGCTTGGCTGTCTTCCACTGTCTCTAGCCCCTCGCTCTGCTCACAGCATTTAGAACTGAGAGGAACCTTAAGGACAGTTTCGAGTACTTGTTCATTGCCCTCTTTCTCATTGGATCAAGCGACTCGTCCTAAAACGGAGACACCTTCCCTGTCCCAGGCCCTGCCCTCCCCAGGTCTTTGGAAAGCTTCTCTTTCTGAAGACACAATCCTTGCCATCCATTGATGTCAAAGCCCCAGGCGTGACTGCTGGTGGATAGATTTCTGCCAGCTGTAGGAAAGGCTGGGGGTGGCCGTGGGAGCATATTTGGACAGGAGGAGTCCAGTACCTTTCAAGTCACCAATGTCAGCAGCCACTTCTACTCTGGGCATGGCCTAGGGTAGGGAGTTAGTGGTGGAGACAAGAACATAGCTCTCAGCTCTGGGTTCAGGGATCCAGCTTGTGGGTGTTGGTACAAGAATTAGATCTTCATTCAACCAACTGCCATTTGTTAGACACCGACAACTATAATAAGTCCTTCAGAACAGCGTTTTCATACTGCAGGTATGATTCATTATTGAGTTGAATAATCAGTTCAGTAGGTCATGATCAGTATAACAATGAAATAGAAAAGCCTAGAATTGAAATTTGAAATTTGATCGTATGTATGTATGTTTGTGTTGGGGTCACAGTGTCAACTTTCTTACTGTGTGTTGGCTGTCAAAAATCTTGAGAATAGCATTTAAAGATGCTACCCTTTGGGAGCTGCGAGTCTAGTTGGGGAAATCAGACCTGTGACTAGAATGAGGAAACATTGAAGCATGAAACTAGTGTTGCCCCAAGTGGGCTAGGGGGTTAATGAGTCCAGGAAGGCTGCCTGGAAGAGGCTCCCTGCACTGTGTGCCTCTGGTTGTTTCAGTTCTCCACAGCTGTGCTGATTGGCCTCTACGTTTTTGAGCGCTTCCCCACCTGCATGATTGGCGTGGGCCTCTTCACCAACCTCGTCTACTTTGGCCTCCTCCAGACCTTCCCCTTCATCATGCTGACCTCGCCTAACTTCATCCTGTCATGCGGTGAGAGGGGGCAGAGTTGAGGAGGCAGCCGAGGTGGCTGGATATGCCCAGCTCAGTCCAGGGCACTGAAGGGGTTGTAGAGAAAAGAGGCAAATCACCGAGGTCCTCCAGGAGGCCAGGCTGATTGGGAAGACGGTGTTCTCACACATGAGGTGCCTAGATCCCATCTTGGCCCAAGGAACTAGAATTTGGTGGGAGTGGGAGGTGGGGATGGGATACTCAGACAGGGAGGGCTTTCCCAAGGAGGTAAGTGTGAAGAAGGGTCTGGAAAGAGAGAAGAGGTGGGCTGGCTGAGTAGTTAGAGCCCCTAAGATACCACTTGGCCAGGAAGAGCCCAAAGCCCTTCTCTGGCAGGCAGGCAGGCAGGCAGCTCCCCATCCAGTCTCCTGGCCAATGTCATGATAAAGACTGGAGCCTCATGGGTCTGTGAGCCCCCTGCAGACAGCTGCCTTCGGGTCGACGAACATGTTTGGAGGACCCTGGCCTTCCTGCCTTTGCTCTGCCACCTGACTCTCAGGAGTCATTTCCCCTCCCTGAGCCTTAGTTTCTCCATCTGTTCAAAGATGAGGTTTGGGAGACTCAGTTGGCACACGGTAAGTACTTACAGATGTGTATAGATATTCACAGAAAAGGTTCTGGAAAGCATTTGGTTGCCAGGATTGCCTCCTCTCCCATTTAATCATGACTGGTCATCCTAGCCTGTGGTCAGGATAGCACATGGAATTCGGGGGTTTTTCTAGCTCCTTTTCTATTTGTATGGGAGAACCTGGGAAGAACATTATCCACAGGAGGGCACAGTGTTAAAGCTCTGACTGGCTTCTTCCCTCGGTGCCTTGGTGTGATTTCACCAAAGGATTTGTTCAGCGGGGGTTGGTGTGGGAGCCCTTCCCTGGAGCCAAGGCCCCTTCTGCATCTTTCTAGAGGGGGAGGCCTCCCACCCCTCTCTGCATCTCCCCAGTTGCAGGCTTCCCCAACCTGCCCTTTAGATGCCTGAAAGAGTTTTTTGAAAGACTTTGTGGGCATCAGGCACCATCCTATCGTCTAGTATCCCCTAGTGCTAGAGTGTGGCTAGGCATGGCAGAGCTGTGGTCTCCACCTTCGAAGGGGAGAGGTAAGAGAGGAGAAAAGAAATGTGGCAGTTGGCTGTGAGGGGTAAGGGGTGTTCCGTTTCGGGGGGAAGCTTTGGTCTGGTGCTCGCCCTTTGCCTCAGTCATGGGATTAAGTAGAAGTGCCTGTGTCTGAGCAGCCTGTCCCCGGGATCTGCTCACTTGCTCCCTCCCATAAATCCAGCTGCACGCTGAGGAGGTTTGTGGGGCTCCAGAGCATACCAGTTCAGAGCAGTGGGCTTTCCCCTGAGGTAAAGGAAGGTTAAGGAAGGACCCCCTCCCCCAGAATTTTGAGGAACCCTAACACTACACCCCCTAAAGTGTCTAGCAAACTGTGCCCTTTTATTCTGCGAGAGCCTCTTTATTTGAGGAGGCCGTCTCCCTGCTGCCCAGTTTGGAGTGGAATCTCTTAGGAGCATGTGACCTGCACACCGTGACTTCTTCCCCCCACTGCCCATGGGAGAGTTCTCTTCAGGACTCGCATCCCCTAAAAACCAGGTTAATTGTCATGGTGCTTCGGAGTACGTAACTCGGAAGTCTCTCTTTTATAACTCGCCAAGAGCTTTCTTACCTGCCTTCTAATTTTACTCATCAGTGCGCTCTGCGGTGGGCAGGTGGGGCTAACTCTCCCATTTTAGCAGATGGGAAACACAGCCCTGGAGAGTGGTGTGCTTGGCCCAGAGCCATACTGAGTCGGGTGTCAAGTCAGGACTAAAACTCAGGGCCCCCAACTCCCAGGGGCCTTTTGGAGGTTAAAAGTCCAGCTTTATGTTATTCCCCCAAAACTAACTGACTCTTCATTCCCTCGACAGGGCTAGTGGTGGTGAATCATTACCTAGCATTTCAGTTTTTTGCGGAAGAATATTATCCTTTCTCAGAGGTAAGAAGTGTTTAGTACATCAAACTATTAACAGGGACAGAGGGAGTAAAGGGGACTCGCATGATGTGCTTTGTGAACTTAGCTATGATTTGAAACTGAGTCCCTTTAGGGATAACACATTTTTAAAAACTTAGATGATTTTAGAAAGTAGTGTGGAAGAGGAGCAGGGGTCCCTTCGGCTCAGGTGGGGAGGACACTGCTCTCCCCCAGCGAGTCCTTTGGCTCTCCTAGGATCACAGGCTAACACCCTGAGGTCAGGAGGGGGCAGTAGGGTGGCCTTCTCCAACTCAGGCTTCATTGGGCTGGGCTGCAGCCCTGAACCCCGGCTTCCCCCAGGGGCCCACCCAGGCCTTCTCTGAGGGTTTCTCCAGGCCCTGCCGCTTTAGTCTAGACCCCTGGGGAAGAACCAGTCCCTTCTTTGGGGATTGTGGGTCAGTTATGGTTTTGCCCCCATCTGCTTCCTTCAGTTCAGAGAGTTGCTTGTCCTAGCAACCAAAATGTGGGCATTGTAGCTACACTCGGTCAGCTTCAGCTCCACCTTTCCCCATTGCACTGTCTCCACGTCTGAGGGTGTCCTCCTGTCTCTGCTTCCCAGCCCCTTTCAGAGATCAGGTGTGGGCTCTTGTGTGCACTCTTGATCACCTCTCTAAGATACCAGGTGACTACGCCTGGCCCACCCTTGGCTGCTAGGAGCACCCTCTTCTCAGTGTCTCTTGTCACCAGGTCCTGGCCTATTTCACTTTCTGTCTGTGGATAATCCCGTTTGCGTTCTTTGTGTCACTGTCGGCTGGGGAGAACGTCCTGCCCTCTACCATGCAGCCAGGAGGTGAGAAGGGGTTTGTGAGGGGTCACTGGGGGAGGACGCCAGCAAGGCCTGAGTCGGCTGGAAGAGCTGGAGCCCAGCCCTGCGATGGAGACATTTGGTCTCCAGGTGGGGAGAGCTGTGCTCATCTTCAACGCACACACACACACTCATCTCCCCCTGCCTATGTCTCCACAGATGACGTGGTCTCCAATTACTTCACCAAAGGCAAGCGGGGCAAACGCTTAGGGATCCTGGTTGTCTTCTCCTTCATCAAAGAGGCCATTCTACCCAGTCGTCAGAAGATATATTGACTCCCTTGGGGAGGGGATGCGGGGGCGAGATCGGGAGAGTCAGGCCCCTGGGCCTCTGTACTAGGTGGGGGCCGTGAGCCTGGAAGGCTTCCTTCAACTCTCCTTGAAGCCCCCATCCCTACCTTCCTTGGGAGGCTCAGATCTGACGCCACTAGAGGCTGTGACCTCAGAGGACACCAAGGAGGTTGCAGAGCCTGCCTAACCGGGGGGCTGTGGTCCTCCTGGTTGTGTGGAAGCTGGGCTCCCTGTCGTCCTCCCCACCCCCTTCCATGCTAGGTCAGGTGGTTCTGGCTGAGCTGGGGCAGGCAGGGCATGGGCCATGAAGCTGGAGAGCAGCCAGTGATAGATTCTTTGGGCAGATGGCCATGGGGCAGGGCCATGGCTTGGCACTTCCAAGAGAACGAGTTTTTGCTGTTGAACTGTGATTTCTGTCCAAGCCTGATTCCTGTTTGAATAAAGATCCTAGGGGGCACTGTTTGCCTTAATACCCTAAAAGTTCATCTTCTTTTCTTTCCGTTGACCTTCTGCCCTGGACTGGATGGGCTTTTCTGTTCCAGGCGTTCCTTTGCTGGGATTGGGTCTTGCCTTTATGAAGGGACTGTTCTTGTGGCCCTTAGTGGGAAGAGGGCAGGGAGCTGAGCCTGGTCAGGGGATGGGGAATGGCGGGGGGAGGTGCCTTCCTCATGCCACTCCCTCTTCTTTCATCTCTTCTATCCCCAAGGCTCCAAGCTGGGGACACAGAGCGGACAGTTTGGGACGGGTTCAATTTTCAGAGCAACATCTACAATACCCTATTTAGAAGTTCCCCTGGGGAAAAGGAGTGGTTTCTGGCCGAATTCTATGTCAGGCTCAAGGAGAAACAAAGTAAAACTTGGCTTATAGGCACCCTGGGCTATGGCCTGATTTTTAAGAAATGGGACTGGCGGGAGAAGCTCTTTGTCACTCTAAGAACACACAAGGGCTGGCCCTGTCTTCTGTGTGCTTGGCTCCTGGGTAGATGACCTCAGGCTTCTAAGAAGGCAGGTCAGGTCCTGAGCACAGACCAGCATTTGTTGACCTTGCACTCCAAATACAGTGCCTTGCAAGTACCGTATTTCCCCATGTATAAGACGCACCTTTTTAAAAAAAACTTGGGGTCTAAAAACGATGCATCTTACACAGTGGTTGTAGATCTCAAATGCCATAGATAGAACTGAGGATGAGGCAATATATATGAAGACGGTGATTCATCATCAGACACAGATGAGGAAAAGCTAATAGTTCAGAGTTTTGACAGTGATGACGAGTTGTATGAATTTTATGATGAATAAAACTTGAATTCGATAACTTTATGTAATACATTTGTTTTCAAATTTCGGGCCCCAAAATTAAGGTGTGTCTTATACATGGGAGCATCTTATACATGGGGAAATATGGTACTCAATAGTACATATTAGAGTAAGTCCCCATGAGGCCGTCATTGGCCATAATGATACCTCAAAGCAAGGCTGGGCAGTGCAGAGATGGACTACACACATGTGGTACCTTTTAAGCCCCTGGGAGGACCTCTTGTGCTTGAAAATCTTCCACATCTTGCCTCAAGTCCCACCATAGCCTTTGTTTTCTTGGCTTTAGCATTTCCTGTTCTCTTCATACCTGCTTTCCCTTTCCCTGCGGGGAGCAGCACATTTTGGTCTCTCAGTGGGAATGAGATTGTCAGGCCCTTTTATCTTATGTAGACGGGTGACAAGGTAGAGGATGCTGGGGGCCAACATTATCCTCACTGCTGGGTCAGCAGCTGGCTCTGCCCTCCCTTGCTGTCCACTTCTCACCCCAATGACATGGCTTTGCCCTCTCCATTTGCTCCACTGCCAGTGCTCTCCCAGGGGTTGCCACGGGCCTTCTTGTGCTCAATTCAGCAGACCCTTTCCATATCTTACTGGGTCTCTGCAGCATCTGACAGGGCTGATCACCCCCAGCTTCTTGAATCGCACTTCCTTAGCACTTCGGCATCTGGTTTCTCCCTACCTCTGTGGCTTCTCCTACCGGTGTCCTGTGCAGGCTTCTCCACTTGCCCCATGCACCGTGGGGTTTCTCAGGGTTCTGTCGTGGGCTCTCTGGAGGAACCCATCCATGCTGATGGCTTTGACTCTGTCAAGGAATTGAGAGTCGACCTCCAGTGTCAACATCCCTCCTGGGCTTCTGAACCACATTCCTGCTGCCTTTGGGTCCACAGACCACTCTCATGGCATTTGTTGCTCTCCTCTTCAGACCTGCCTCTTTTGGGTACCTGTTGTGGCCCCAAGATCAGTCAGGAGCCAGAGCAGAAACCTGTCCCCTACATCCAATTTCTAAAAACTGTCAAGTTTGCCTTCTTAACATTTCTTGATTAGAGCCACTCCCACTGTCATCAGCTTTCACCTGGATTATTGTGACAGCCTCCTCCTGTTTCTCTGTCCCACAGCCAGAGTTGTCTTTCTAAAATGCATAGTTGATCAAGTCACTTCCTGGCCTACACCCTTCCATGGCTCCTCACTGCCTTCAGGATAAATCCAGACCCCTCAGCATGGCTGTGAGACTCATGGTGTCCTGCCTCCTGCTCGCCTCTCTGGCCTCATCACTTGCCACTTTGCACTCTTGAGCCTCAGCCTCCTGTATCCAGAGATGCCACTTTGATTCCCCTTTCTTCTGCTCACCTGGGTATCTTCTCTGTCAGTTCTCAACTTAGATTTCACTTCATCCAAGGAGCTTTGAATGCCGCTTCCCCTCACCCACCCCAGCACACCACCCATTACCCCAGGCTTACTTGCCTGCATACTGGTCTATCTCCTAACTAGACTGTAAGCTCATTGAGGGCAGGGACTGTCCCTCAAGTTTTGTATCAACAGCACCTGACTTGGTGCCTGGCACATAGAAAGCACTCAATAAATATTTGTTTAATGAATGATTTGTAGTGATGTGTACAGGGGCTACCAGGGGATACAGGCCAGCTTCCTGGAGGAAGCACAAGTGCTTTCATAGTGTCAAACTGAAGCCATCAGTCTTCCTCCCTTCTCCCAGGTATGCTTCCCTGACCTGCAGAAACCCCAGCGGCAGCCCATAGTGGCAGGGAAGCCCATGGCAGGGCGACACATTAGATGTCTTCCACCCCATTCTGGATCTGGAGACGAAGCATGAGGCTTAGAGCCTACAGCAGAAGGACTTAATCTGAACAAGAGGCCCAATTTCCCAGCGGTCCCTCATTGGGAAGCCTTGTCCTTGGTGGGGCAGTGGGGAGCAAAGGGGGACACCAGTGTGTTCCTTTTACAGTGCTAGGGCCTAGGATAGAGACTGACCCCCCACTCTGAGCCTTGGGCTGCTGCCCTAACTTGAATCTCTTGGGAGGGGGCGGTTCTTTGTGGAGAAAAGGGAATCCTGGCACCTTTTGTTGGGAGGCGGAGGCTCTGATCCTTGAGCTTGGGAGTAGGGAGCCTGTGGGCACCCTCTCCCTTCCCCGTGTACATTAATGGCCACACCTCAGCCTTCACTGGGTTGCCTCAGGTCAAAAGGCTACCAAAGTAAGTTTATGGTGGGGGGAGGGGCTGGGAAGAGGGCATAGTGGAAAGCCCTTGATGGGCTCGCACAGCTTCCAGGAAGGCTTCGTCAAACGTCTCACGCAAGTTCATGGCCAGAGTGTCGGTCCAGAAGGTGTCGTCCACATGCCGCTTCCGGGCCAGGTCCCTCATGCTGGCAGAGTAAAAGCCCTGGGGCACCTTCATCCTGTACGGCCGCGCTGGAGGGTACAGCTCACGGACTATCTCCTCTAAAGGCAGCCGGGGCACAGGGGTCACCTGGTTGCCGGCCACCGTGCTTAGCCGAGCACCACCATGCCCGTCAGACCTGACCTCGAGGAACCTGCGGAAGTCGTGCTCTGGGCTGGGGTCTGGATGCACGCCCAGGCGGATGCCCTGCGGGTAGCTGATCTGGGCAGTGGGGGACTTGGCAGGGTTGGTGCTAAGATCCCACAACCTGGGCCTCCTGACTGTGGTCTGTTGGTAGATGGACGTGGGTGTCACAAAGACCTGCAGCTTGGGCTGTGGCATCTGTTGCAGGAGTGCCTCTGGGGAGGGGTGGAAACTCTTGGGAGTCTTGGGGGTCTTGGAGAGGACGATGGCCCGGGGTGGGGCTTGAGGTTCTTGATCAGTATTACAGATCAGGGATTGGCCTGTGGGCAACAGCTTGCGATGGAGCCACTTCTTGAAATCAGCTTCTCTCAGAATTTGGTGCTCTTTCTGCAACATCAGAGGGCACAAGATAGGCGAAAAGGGCTGCTCCCCTGGGCTTCTGTGGAAGGAGGCCCTGTGGCTATAGCCCTTGGAAGCCTCAGGCATGACTGGCCAGACGCCATCCCACCTCAGAGAAGCCCTGAGTCTGATGGGAGAAACCCCAGCCTTCGGGGAGCCCTGATTCTGATGGGGAGACAGCTGTTGCCTGAAGGGAGCCCCTGGGCTGATGGGGCAGACAGTCTCTCCCATAGAGAAGACCTCCAATCTGATGGAGACACAGCTTTCACCCTAGGTGAGGTCTTCAACTTGAAGGGGGAGACACAGTCTGCCTTACAGAAAACTTTGCGTCTTATGGGGGGAACCCATTTTGATAGCGGAGACATGTCTTGCCTTAAGAGAGTCTCTGTTTTGATAGGGGGGAAAGGCAAATGAGAAATGCAAACTACATCCTTGACCCTGGAAGGAGAAAGCAGAAAGATTTGGAAGGCCTGGAGCTGGTTGGAGCTAATCTGGGCAGGCTTCTTGGAAGTGGATGGCCTTGAGCAGTCGTGGAGGGGAATACAGTTTGCTAGCTCTCCGGGCTGGGTGGTGATAACTTGATCTAGCTCTCTGTTCTTGCTTCCACTACCAGTGAACCTTCAACTTGTCACAGAACCTCCCCCTTCCCACCCTGTGTCTCAGTGTCATTTCCCAGACCGTTGCTAAGCCATCAGATGGTTTAGAGATTGACCCAGCTCAAGAGGTAGGCTCTGATTAGGCTAAGCCTCTCATAATAATTCCATCAGCTTGCCCTAGTCCTAGGGCAGTCAGCACATGCTATAGGAATTGTAACAAGAGTGGACACATGACCCAATTGAGGCCAATAAGAGATAAGGGGAGATATGCAAGGGGCTTCTGGGAAAGTTTAGAGCCACAGGAACAGATGGACTTTGCGTCTTCTGGACACATATGTGACCGAGGACTGGGTGGCACTGACAACAGAGAAGAACAGGGCTGAGAAAACTGGAGAGAAGTGTAGCTGGAGTCCTGGATTTGGCCAGCCCTGAAGCTCTCCCCACTTTTGTATCCACTTAGAATTCCCAGCATCTTCTTTCTGGGTTGTCTTGCATCCTATGTAATTATACCTGCTTGAATCCATTAGTGACTCCCTTCTTTCCCTCATCAAGGTCTGTCACTGATCTGGGCCCTTGCCAAATCTCTACCTTGTCCATCTCCAACTCACATCAGATACCCTGGCTGTACTGAATTTGCACTTCTCAGCATACACCATGCTTCCATGTGCCTCTGTGCCTCTCCACTGGGTTGTCTATTCCCTCTGCCTGGTCAGCCCGTCACTACTTCTTCATATGGCCAACTGCTGCCCATCTTTAAAGACTCCTCTTAAGCATTATCCCTCTGGCACCTCCTGGGCCCTGTCCTCCTCTGGGAATATAACCCACCTGCCCTACTAGACTCTAAGCTCCTTGAGCGAGGGAACCACCTCTCCTTGCTCTTTGGAACCTCAGGGTCTATCTAGCACAGCGGTTCTCAACCTGTGGGTCGCGACCCCTTTGGGGGTTGAATGACCCTTTCACAGGGATCGCCTAAGACCATCGGAAAACAAAAAGATATTTACATTACAATTCATAACAGTAGCAAAATCACAGTTACAGAGTAGCAACAAAAATAATTTCATGGTTGGGGGTCACCACAACATGAGGAACTGTATTAAGGGGTTGCAGCATTAGGAAGGTTGAGAACCGCTGATAGATTCTAGCAGGTGCCTAGCAGAGAGTGAGTGCTCAATGTCTGTTGCAAGGATGGGCCTTTTTAACCAGTGTGCATCCCAGTAAAGCAGGGCCTGGGTCTCATTAGAGATTCTCCTCCTCACCCGAAGGAGGCAGTGCATTTGAAGGAGCTCCGTAAATACTTGCTAATTTAAGCTGCATTTCCTTTCTAACACAAGACTTTTGGCCTAAAGGGGTGGCTTCTAAGGGTGGAATTTCAGTCTGGAGAGGGAGAGGAGACTCTTTTTGGACGGGACTGCTTCTAGCCACTCTTCTAAGCGCACGTGAGTCCCTGCCTCTGCTCACATGCCTGGATAGCAGCTGACGCCCGTTAACCCTGCAGCTCTACCCCTTACTTGATACTCAGCCAGGTAGTCCTGCTCCATGAGGACCAGCTGGCTCTTGAGCCTCTTCAGTTTCCCCATCTCACAGGCAAAGTCCTTCTTGTCCCGTTTCCACATGGAATCCTTCAAGAACCTGGTGCCAAGGTGGGGGCATGTCATCCCCCAGTGACTGGGCTTCAACCTGGGCTGGGAGGGGCTGCCAGAAGTGAGGTGAGCATGACCCACCCCCATTCCCCAAAGCCCCGCTGGCTAACTACTTCGAGTGAGGTGAGAGAGGAAAGTGATGGTCTGATCACCAACCTTCTGCTGAGGCTCCCGGGGCAGGAGGGCAATGCTAAACCCCAAGGGGTGAGGCCTCTGGAAATCCTCTGGGAATAATATCCTGGGAAAGTCTGCACAACTCAGCCGACTTAGCCCATAGTCATCTGGCTTCCCAGACCTTCCTCTTAAAGGCTCCACCTTGGGTGAGGGCCCTAGGGGCAGGGCCGGGAGAGGGAAGGGGTGGCAGGTTGGAGGTGGTTCTTACACCCTCACCGAGCACAGGCGCGGTAGTTCCATATTTTGCAATAGTCGATGGGCTTGCAGCCCATGGCATCTAGGGCATGGACATTGGCGCCATTCTTGACCAGGACCTTCACACAGCTCAGCAGGCCCTGGCGGGCTGCCAGGTGCAGAGGCGTAGAACCGTTGCACGTCTGCCTGTGGCGTCCCCGCCAAGGGGAAGAGGGCGGGAAGGAAGGACAAAGGGCGTCTGCCTATCAGTTGAGTGGGCAAACTAATTTCCAGGCTTGCTCTGCCACCAGCCCTCTGGGTGACCCTGGCTTGTCCCCTCTCTGTCCCTCAGCTTCCTCAACTGTAGAAGAAGGGTTTGGACTAAATGAACAGTCAAAGCCTGATTATGGGGGTATGGGACAGCTAAGAGCTGCTGAAAGTGAAAGGAGCGCTAGGCTGGTGGGAGCTCAGAGACCACTAACCTCGTGCTCTTAAATCAGCCAGCCCTCCTGCCTTGCCCATGCCTGGCCACGGCCCACGAGGCCTGCGTGCTCTGGGCCCTGCCTCCTCCACTTCATCCTTTGGCCTTGCGCTACTCTTTCCCAGCTCATGGCCTTTGCACACGATGTTCCCTCTGCCGGAACATTTTCTCTGGCTCTGCATGGCTGGCTCAGTCTTCAGGTTGCACTTTACATGTCACCGCCTTAGAGATGACTGTCCCTTCCAAAACAGGTCCTCTCCCTGCCCCCTTTACTCCCTACCCCACCACCCTGTTTATTCCCTTCATAACTACTCACCACTCCGTCATTTTGTTCATTTATTAGTGTGCCTGTTTACTGTCTGCTCCTGTACTAGGATATGTGAGGGCAGGGACCATTGCTGTGTGTTCACTGCTCTATCCCTCACCTCTGACATAGTGCTTAGCATATAGTACATGGTAGATAAATATTTTGAATGAATGTAGTCTCCCATATGACATCTGTGCACTTTCCATGCATTTTCTCAATTATCACAATAGTCTCATGTGATAGGCACTGTCATCCTCCCCAATTTCAGTTGAAGACTCTGAGGCAGTAAGTAGTTCCCAAACTTGGCTGAAAATTAGAAACACCTAAGTATCTTTTAAGATTTTTTTTTTTCAAAGCCCAGGCCACACCCCAGACCAATTAAACGGCACAATCTCTGGATTGGAGCACACCATTGGTCTTTTTGATGCTCTCCAGGTGATTGCAGTGTACTGAAGAGCACTAGTGCTGAGTGATTTGCCTCAGGTCTCCATGTGTTCTAGCAGGTGGCAAAGCTGGGACATGAACTAGATCTATCCTCCCCCAGAGGACAAAAAAAGTTATGACAAAAATGTCACAACTTTTGCGCTACGTGGGCTCTCTGACTGCTTCATATGGGACCCAGTCCTGCCTGTCCTGCATGGATCTGCCTACCTGGAAGCGGGCTCCTATCTGCCCAGCCTCTAAGCCACTCTGATGCAGGTTGGACTCACGTGTTGACAGCTGCCTGGTGCTTAAGCAGATACTGAATGCAGGGAAGGACCACGGTCTTGTTGTCCCTGTGGATGACGAGGTGCAGGGGTGTCTGGCCATCGTTGGTGGGCAAGTCCACTGGAAACTTGTACTCCTCTACCAAGACCTGCAGGCATTCAAGCTTGCCGCTCTGGGCTGCAAAGTGGATGGCAGTGAAGCCCTGTGGGCGCCAGAGGAGGACAAGAGGAGGCTGAGCAGCATCTGGGCCCCGGCGTCCACAACCGAACCTGGGTAGCAATTTCTTGGGGTCCCCCTTCCCATCTTCCCTGTGCCCTCAAGAGTCACTCACACCCTTTCCCACTCGCATAGGTGCTCACTCTTCCTGGCTGCCCCCCAATGGCTCTCCCACAGTGGGAAGGTCAGTTAGGACGATCTACCCAGAAAATTATGCTGTCTGCCAGGTGACCACTGTGTGAGGAGCTCGTGGTGGGGCGGACCTCGGTCCTTGCGCTTGCGCTCCAAGGCCTTACCTTGTTATCGGTGGGGATTTCCCCACGACCCCGATTCAGACAGAACCGCAACCATTTCAGGTTGCCCAAGGCGGCTGCAAATAACTCGCAATAGCTTCCAGTCACCCCGTGGTCCCACTCACCGATCCAGTGAGAGTCAGCGCGGAAATAGGGGGAGGTAGGGGGCAACGAGCGAGGACGCAGCGGCTGGTTCGGGTCCCGCGTGGGCGAGGCCATCACTTGTGCATGACGCGTTTATGGAGGCCGGGGCTGGCTGGCAGGCAGGTCAAAGAAGCGGCCAACGTCGACGGCTCTGAGCCCCTCTCTGGAGTCCAGCCCGGGCCCCAGCCCCGCTCTCCAGGATTCTCAACAGCCCCCACTTGCTGGCTCCAGGCGCTGCTCCTCCAGGAAGGCTCTGGGCGGTTCCCCCGCCCGCAGAGGGCCACCTGGTCCCCGACTCACCTGGGCTGCTTGGACTCAGAGTAACACCAGGTAACCTTCGAGGAGACTCTCCGCAGGCTTCACGGAGACACGTGTTGTTGGCGGGGGCTGTGAGCTGCTGCTCTCCACGCTCCCTCCCACTGAGAGGCACCCGGGCACCTACGTCGTCCCGCCGCCAGCAGAGGCTGCAACTCGCGCCGGGGGCGGGGCCGGGCCCGCCCAGGCCGCCAGGGGCGTGTCGAGGGGCAGTGCCTGGGCTCTTCTGAGCCCCGGGCCTCTGCCAACCCGGCTACCCCAACCGCCCGGGGCCCCCTCGTCCCGGAAACTCAGCATCAAATGCACACACACCGTACTGAAAGACATTTAGCTTTTGTTTCTGATTATAGAATTAATAAGTGCTGATTGTAAAAAAAGAGAGTAAGGACAATGAGGAAATTAAAAACCACAATCCCACCACCCACAGACATCACGGCCTATTACAATATATATATATATATATATATATATATATATATATATATATATATATATATATAAAAATGTCATATAGACATTTTTGTACCTCTTTCCATTTCGCGTTATATTATGAGCTAACTTCCACCGCCATCCCACGTACCAAACACACATTGTGACGCAACTCTAGCCCAACATCAGAATGGATGCGCTGTCATTTCACATGTGCTGCAAAAAGCAAAATGGCTAGTCTCTGGTTGGACTCCTAGGTGAAAGGGAATGAACATTTTTTAGCTGTTGATTTCCAAATTGCCCTCCAAGCAAGGTTTTATATTCACTTACACATCCACCCACCTGCAGTGAAGCAGGTGCTACACATTAGCAGTGTGACTTTGGGTAAGTTACTTAACCGCTGTGTCCCGGTTTCTGCATCAGCAAAACGGGGATAATTGTATCTACTTCACAAGGAAGGAAGGGATACAAGCAGTGAGACCCAGTTAGTTGAATAATTTGTAATTATTAAAACAGGAACTATTCCAACCATCACTAGCTTTGGATTTTATGATTTTTAAATAGATGTTTGCTAAGTGGAAATGGTGTTCTAATTTGACTCTGATTACCAGCAAGGGTTCAACCATTAATTAATCAGTAATTTTTTTCTCTTCTGGGAGTTATCTATTTATTCACATTGTTCTTTGAGGGTCTTAATGTGTCTTTTACTGATTTGTAAAACGTAATAACATAGTAACCCTTTCTACATTTTTGTTGTCAATATTTTTCTGTTTGCTTTTTAACTTTTTACAATATACAGCAGCCAAGCAGTCAGTGTTGCTTGAATCAGTGTTGACTGTTATTGAATAATCCACATTCTCACCCCTTCTCAATTAAAAATGGGCAAAGAACCTGAATAGACATTTCTCCAAAAGAAGATATATACATGGCCAATAATGACATGAAAAGAGGCTCAATATTAATCACTACGATGGCTATAATAAAAAAGACAGATAAGCGTTGTCGAGGATGTGGAGAAATTGGAACCCTCATATACTACAGGTGGGAATGGAAAATGTAGTCACTTTGGAAGTGGATTTGCAGTCTGGCAGTTCCTCAAAGGCTACACATAAAGTCATCACCTGACGCCCAGTCATTTTGTTCCGAGGTATATATATCCAACAGAAATGAAAACATATGCCCCCACAAAAACATGTACATGAGTGTTCATAGCAGCATTATTCATAATAGCCCAAAAGTGGAAGCAACCACATGTCCCTAAAGTGATAAGTGGATAAACAAAAGGTATATTCATGTTGTGGAATATTATTTGGCAATAAAAAGAAATGAAGTACTGATATGTGCTACAACATGGATGAACCTTGAAAATATTATGGTAAGTGAAAGACGCCAGACACAAAAGGCCACATACTGTATGATCCCATTTATATGAAATGTTCAGAATAGACAAAGCTATAGAGATTGAAAGTAGATTAATGGTTGCCCAGGGCTGGGGAAGGGGCAGACGAGGGATTTGAGGGGTGATGGCTAACAGTGCAGGGTTTCTTTTTGAAAATGTTTTAAAAATTGATTGTGGTGATGGTTGCACAGCTCTGAATATACAAAGTTGTTGAGTTGTACAATTATAATTAGGTAAATTTATGGTATGTTAGTTATATAGCAATAAAACTTATTAAATAAAAACAACTCTATGCCTTGTGGATACCCAAAAGCTTTCCCCCAAATGGCTGTGAAGTGTCATGGGGACTTTTATTCTTAGGGCCTTCTTTGGTGTCAGCACTTGATCCAAGAATTCTGGCTGGTTTCACAACACATTGACCCAGAAATGGAACTCAGCCCTTTGTTGAAGTTCCATCCTCTAGACCAGCCCTGACTCTTAGGAAGAATTCATGGCCTCATTGTAGATGGGGCAGAGGAGACAGGACGGATGACATTGAAGGACAGGTAGCTTTCAAAGCAACATCCAGTATCCTGGTGTTTAGGATGCTCTTCACCCATTTTTTAACTGGGAGGGTTTCTCCCTCAGCCTTTCACACCACCTCCATGTCCCCAGGCTCTCTCCCCAGCAACTCCCCTCCCTTCCTCTCTGGAGCATACCAAATTCCTCCCTAGCATCTCTCAGAGCTGGTTAGAGTCAGACACATCTTTTATAGCCGCGATTGTCCTTTCCATGGCCCCTGAGCTCATGTTCCACCCAAGAAATTTATCAAGATATTTGACAAAGACAAATAACTCCCAAAGAGGAATTCTATTGTCAGCTGTTAAGACACTAATGTGGCTTTTTTTTTAAAGTGGAGACAATAGTTTAATGAACTTCATGTACCCATCACCCCCAGCTTTAACAATGATCAAAGTTTTGTAATCTTGTTTCCACATAAGATGAACGTCTTCATCTCAGTTACTTCTTATTTGGGAAGCTTTTAAAATAGAAATACAAATGCTCCTATAAGAACAAGACATAGAATACAGGCTTAACAATCTGTTCTTTCCCAGGGAGAGGAATGGAGCGCGGGGGGGCCCTCCATATCCAGCTGGGGCTGAGGGTGGGCGCAGAAGTGGTAGGTTCAGATGTGTGGGACCATGGAGGATGGAGAGGGGTGCGTAGACGGGTGCCGAAGGCAGGGGTCCCAGGACCACGCTTCCAGGCCAGGCTGCAGGCGGTGCTAGAACACAGTGTCAATCGCGGTGTCCTGCGACGCCCCCTCGCGGGAGTAGAACTCATCGATCACACTCTGCGGGATGCGCTTCAGCATCTCCTTGGGGAAGATGCGTAAGAGCTTCCAGCCCAGGTCCAGCGACTCAAACACTGAGCGGTTCTCGTAGGGGCCTAGGGACAGAGCAGGAGTGTCAAGGGTGTGTGTGTGTGTGTGTGTGTGTGTGTGTGTGTGTGTGTGTGTGTGTGTGTGTGTGTGTGTGTGTGTGTGTGTGTGTGTGTGTGTGTGTGTGTGTGCATGTGTGTGTGTGTGTGTGTGTGTGTCGGGTAAAGGGGTTACTGCCTGAACAACCCCAAAGCGCCTCACCTTGGTTAATGAAATTCTTCTCAAACTTCTGCAGGAATTCCAGGTAAAGTAGGTCCTCCGAAGTGAGCGCCTCCTCCCCCACCACGGCCTTCATGGCCTGCACGTCCTTCCCGATGGCATAGCAGGCATACTGGGGAAGGGGCAGAGGGGGTGGGTGGTCACCACAGGCCTATCACCTGAACCCGATGACCCTTAATCTGGCTGTGCTGGGAGGCCCAGTTTTGGAGAAGGGGTTTTTCCAGGAGAAAAACCTGTGGTCCTGTTAGGGCTCAGACCTCTCGCATCTGAAACCAGCTTCCTCACCAGCCCATAGGCCTGCTGCTTCTTACCAGCTGGTTGGAGACATCTCCATGGTCCTTTCTGGTCATGCCCTCCCCAATGGCAGATTTCATGAGCCGCGACAGGGAAGGGAGCACGTTGATGGGAGGGTAGATCTGCGGAAGCAGAAAGGATGGCGGAAGGCGGGGTCTAAACTTTTCTTCCCACCCTGCTTCTCGCCCCTCCCCCACGGCTCTCATGGTCCTCATCCTACAGAGAAGCGGGTTACGCCCACCCACCTTTATCGCCCATAAATTCTAGGGCTTGGGTGTGCAGGTGTCTACATGTGTGCTCCCAGACAGGAGAGTGGAGTGGGGAGATGACATGCCATTAGTTAATGACAGGCTCGCTATTTCAAAACTTTTGATCAGACAAAACCAGGTTGAAGCTTAATGGCTACAAAGAAAGAGCCTTCCAAGCAAAGAGGGAAAAGTCATAGGGGTTGCCTTTAACCCCAGATGAGACAGACACCTTTTCTAACCCGTTCCCATGTTATTCACCATCTACTTGTGTCAGTTACCCATTGTTTCCTGTTCACCAAAGCAAATTACCAGAAAGGGAAGAGAGATGGTAATTCTTTAGTATCTACTATCTGTTAGATGTTTCCTGTATGCCAACTTATTTTATCCTCCAAAACGCAACTGTGTGATAAGTATTATTATTGCTCATTTTATAGAAGAAGAAACCTAGGATCAGAGAGATGAAATTATTTTCTCAAGGTCCCGTAACCAGGTAGGCTGGATTCTACCCAGATCTGCCTTCTGTCTGTGAACCACACAGTCTGCCAGGGGGGTTTATCTCCTGTTTGGGGTTAGCCTTGCCTAGCCCCTCCTAATTCATGGAGAGATGAACCACAGGGGGTGGTGGAGAGAGCAGAAAGTGGGTGGGGAGGGGACAGCACCTGTCTGTTATGAAGCTGTCTGTCCACGTAGATCTGTCCCTCTGTGATGAAGCCCGTCAGGTCTGGGATGGGGTGGGTGATATCTACAAGGAAACGCACTGGCCTCAGTGTCGTTGGGGCCCAGGTTTCCACCTACTCAGGGTCATCGGGGTTCTTTTCCCCTCATGGAAGTGATAGGAATGGATGGGGGCAAGGAAAGGGCAGTGTCGACCCTGAAGGAGGAATAGCGTTACTGCACATCTATGCAAAGAAGCGCCGGCCCTTTACATGTCCGGGTGGGAAGGGAGGGCGGGGGCCTGCGGAAGGCAGTGGGCGGTGAGGAGGCTCACCGTCATTGGGCATAGTGAGGATAGGGATCTGAGTGATGGACCCTCCCCGGCCCGACACGCGGCCCGCTCGCTCGTAGATGGTGGCCAGGTCTGTGTACATGTATCCGGGGAACCCTCGGCGCCCGGGCACCTCCTCTCTGGCAGCTGAGACCTGCAGTATCCGTGGGCATTGGGATAAGAAGCGGGGTGAGAGGCTGAGACGAGGAAGGGTGAGTGGGAAGTTCAGTGACTATGAGAAACAGAGTGGAGGCAGGCCTGGGTGGGCGCGCTCTGGGGTGCAGGGGCTGCGACGAAACTGACACGCTTATCCAGCCACCTCACCTCCCGCAAGGCCTCTGCGTAGGAACTCATGTCAGTCAGTATGACCAGCACATGCTTCTCACACTGGTAGGCGAGGAATTCAGCCGCGGTCAGTGCCAGGCGCGGGGTGATGATCCGCTCAATCCTGGAGATACAGCCAATGGTTAGAGAGCCTGGAGGCCCAGGCCTGTGCTCCATTTAGCCCCAGTGCTGAGGGGAAAGCTGGGACTGTGCATAGCAGCAGAGGCGTGGATACCATGAACCCCCGCTCCCAGCCCCCAGGTCAGGGCTGTGGTTCCTGGGAGTGGGCACTCAGCCAGGTCCAACACTCCCCTGTCCTGTGGTTCAAGGTAGAAAAAAGGGCAGAGGCTGGGGCAGGCGGAGAGTTGGGTGAGAGTGGGACAGCCAGGGCCAGGAGTATCTGATGAGGATGACAGCAGCCCCATCCCCGTGGCCTGAAGGTGGGGGGACTCTGGCAATCAGCAGGAGGCAGGTCAGAGCTTCTGCTCTGGCTTCCTTTTCCTTGGGGTACCGGCCCTTGGGTCAGCTGGAACACTCTCCCTCTGTTTCCTCAGGCGTCTTTCCCTACTGGTCCTCTCACTGCTCCTCAGCACACTTAGCATACACAGTCCATACACATGCCTGTCCTGGCCGCCCCTGTTACTATGAGCACTCCTGAGTCCCTGGCTCTGTGCCTGTGAGTCTCTCCTTTGGTGATGTTGTCACGGCCTCCCAAATTCTGCTACTTAGTTTTTGGAGTATTTTTAGTACCCAGGACAGTTTATTAGAATTGTTTTGTTTTGTTTTTTCCATCCACTTGACCCCCGGATTTAAACTCACATTTTCTAAACTTTTGAAATAGCAGTTTTTCTAACAGGATTTAGGGAAATATCTCTTTAGCGGTGGCTGTGGCAGTGACTCAAGGATGAGGAGCCCTGACTCGGAATGATGGTTCAATGCAGGTTGTGGGAAGAGCAGAGGGACTGCAGGTGACAGGCAGGGCCATGGTCCTGGCTCCTTCTGTCTCTTCATGAGCTATCCCTACCCATTATCAGCCTCGGTTTCCCCACCCGCACAAGGGGTAGTTCTCCCAGCCCTCGCCCATGGCTGTAGTTCTGGGAAACCCCTGAGCCCCACTGGCTACCCTGGGTCTTGGACTAGGACAAGGCCTGCTGCTTGAGGACAGTACAGGCATGAGGGGAGGACTCACGTGGGGTCATTGGCCAAGTTCAGGAAAAGGCAGACATTCCCCATGGTACCATTCTGCTCGAAGTCGGACTTGAAGAACCTGGCTGTCTCCATGTTCACCTGGACACACAACAGGGGGGACTGGAGGCAGGGCCCTGTGACCTGAGAACAGGGACCCAGGCCCCTCCCATCTCTTCTCAGTAAAGCCTGTCCACTGACTAACAGTCACTGTGGGTGAAGGTGCCATGGTCACTGATCCCGAAGCTTGAGAGGGCAGGGCTGGCTTGCTGCCCAGTGCTGGGTAGGGTCTCATCACACCCCCAAAGAGAGGTTCAGACTTCTTCAGGTTGGGCTCTGCTCAGCGCCACCCTGCTCCTCCTTTGGCCAGCTGCTTCCGTGAACTCCCTGTTCCCCTCTTGGGCCCTGTGAGGGCCCCATGGTATCCGTCTCCCAAGGCTTTTTGTCTCCTCAAATTCCCTAGTGTCCCTTCCTCCAGGTCAACCTGCACTCATCGTGTAGCTTCCATGGCCTTTGGGGTGCCTTGAAGGACACACTGCCGTAGTCACCGAGCCCACCGCATCCCTTCAGTCACGTTCTTACCTCTCCCACCAGACAGGCCGCACTCTGACAACTTCTCAAGGAGAAGAATTGTGCCTCCCCCATCAGATCAGGCCGTGCCAGGGGCCAAGGGAAACAAGGCTGCCCACCCACAGCTTCCAGAACTTGCCAATCAGCCCACCCCCTCTTACCCCCATGGCTGCAAAGACGATGGCAAAGTTGTCATCGTGATAATCCAGCACAGCCTTGGGCTTCTTCACCAGCCCAGCCTGGCGGCAGATCTGGGCAGCAATCTGGAGTGCAGGGGGTTAGGAAGAAGGATGACTCACTGAGCGCCATTGCAGGGGATGGGCAGGGCAATTGCCACTCCCGTCTTCCTGCCAGGGCCTTCTGTAGGAGGGATCCACAAAGGCGACAGGGCAGCCCCAGGTCCTACAGCCTTTCTCAGGGAAGGGGCTGCCCTGTGCTGGGACTACCGAAGGGCCAAGGATGCCTGTCATGAAAAGCAGACAGAATAACAGTGCCAAAGAGCAACAGCCTCAACACAGGTTTAGAGCAGCTTGGCCCTTCAGAATCCCTTCACCTCCCCTCAGACTGCTGGGGTTTATCTGTGCACAGAATTGCCCCTAGCCTGCAGTGCATGGAATTACCATAACACAGATTAGGATGCGTGTTATATAGGGTAGGGGGCACTTATGCCATCTGATCACTCACACCATTTTGAGGTGAGCTGGGTTACATCCAGGAGTGGTTGGGTGGGGTCAGGGGTGGGGCATCTAGAAGCCTTGTCACACCAGCAGCTTTGAGAGGAACTGGGCTATTCACTCTTAGTGGAAGGGCGGGGCAAGGAACCTGTACAGGGAGGTCTCAGATGGCTGTAGGGCTGGCATCAGAGGCGTTCACTCAGTGCAGTGAGTAAAGACCATGACGAGGACCAGTGGGTAGCGCTGTCAGCCCAGTTGGGCAGGACTGTCAACACTAGGGCTGCCCAGGGGCTCTCTCATGAGCCAGTGAGTGCTCCACTCCCTCAGGCAGAGGCTTGAAGAGCTGCTTGGGGACAATGAGGTCCTGAGCTGCCAGAGGACAACTGACAGTCTAGCCTGCTGGTCACTCCAGCTGGGCTGGCCCCTGCCTGCTCAGCACAGGAGGCCCTCCTCTGGCCTACGAGCCTTGGCCTCTGCTCTGTCCCTGGCCCACAGATGTGCCGGCAGGATCCTGTAGACCTCACCTCGTTGTGGGGGAGCCCGGCCGCTGAGAAGATAGGGATCTTCTGACCTCGGGCAATGCTGTTCATGACATCGATGGGGGAGATGCCCGTCTGGATCATTTCCTCGGGGTAGATGCGGTCATAGGGGTTGATGGGCTGGCCTGGGAGAGGGCAGTCATGGACCATGCTTGAGGGTTCGGGTCTTCCCTGCCCTCCCCCACCCTGTCTGTGCCTCCAGGGCAGCACTGCTAACAGAATTCTCTGCAATGATGGAAATGGGCTCTAACGCCATCCAATATGGTGGCCTTAGCCACATGTGGCTATTGAGCACATGAAATGTGGTTTTGAAATGAAATTTGATTTCACTGCAATGAACGTGTATGTAAAGAGCCACATGCCCAGTGCCCCCGTGGACAGCGTTGCTCTGGAGCATTAGAAGCGACAGGGCGGGAGCTCAGGCTGAGGCCCCATTGTCGGAACCAGGGACTTCCTTAAGACCTAGAGGTGCTGTGCAGGTTTGGAGGACCTGAGGGTGACTCGGAGCCCTCCCATCTGAGCAAGTATGTGTTCTGTGCTCTACCTCCAACTTGCTGTGTGGCCTTGAGTTAGCCGTGAACCTCGCTGGGCCTCCATCACATCTTTGGTAAACTGACATGATGGGGTTGGAGGACTCAGGATGGCCTCCCATGGAATGGGGTGAGCTCCTGGGAGGGGCTGTGTCTTCTTGTGCAAACCACCCCAGCCAGCTCTCAGGGGTGGGACAGGGAACTGGAAGGCAGGAGAGTGATGGTCTTGGGGTACACATGGAGCAATGCCACAACTATGATGGCAGCTTACAAGACATGGAGTGCTGATGGCTGTATTTCAGGCTCTGTGGCTCCTGGCCTTTGCTGCTCCCATATCACACCTGATCTGCCGCTGTCTGACCATCCTTGGAGATGTGTCTTAGAAGTGAGCCCTGGCCTATCACCCTGACCTGTGTCTGGCGAACTTCCAAGGGCAAGATGACACAGATGATGACTGGGGGTGGGGGAAGTAGTTGATGGCCGGATCCCTAAAGCCACCCAGAGCCCCTGGTCACTCACCATTGATATCCAGGAAGTCCTCTGCCATGACCACTGGCCCCTTGTCAATGGGTTTGCCGGAACCATTGAAAACTCGACCTTGGGGTGGTCAGGGGGTGTTAGAAGATGCTTAGGGCCGGGCTGCTCACCCCCCACACCACTACCAGCTTCCACCTGCCCCCCACATCCCGAGTGCCCATGTCCCCTTCCCCCTCATCCCTCAGTTACCTCCAGAGAGCTGGCTACAGTGCCTTTCTCCTTGGGGGGGTCTTCCTTCCTCTCCTGGGAACCTTTATAGGCAAGGCCTTGACCGAGGACAACTACTCTAACTGGGTGATTTGGGGGCTAAAAAGAGGGGAGGGCCAGGTATGGCAGATCTTGGGAGAAAATTAGGGAACGTGCAGTCCATTTCAGCCTGACCCCAGATGGATGGCTACCTACTATGCCTTCCTCATTTATTGAACACCTGCTGTATGTCAAGCCCTGAGCTGGGCTGGGGGTCAAAGAGAGAAGAGGAGACAACCCCTGGACTCAAAGAGCTCACAAGGGAGGCAGACATGTAAATAGGCAATGACAATGCAGTGTGCTAAGCGCTTGGTCAGAGAAGCAGGCTGGTAGGAGTACCCCACCCTGTCCCACCCTCACTACTCACCCAGCATGTCCTCTGACACTGGAATCCGTAGGATGTCCCCTGTGAATTCGCAGGTGGTCTTTTGGGCATCAATCCCAGAGGTCCCTTCAAAAACCTGTGGGACAAGACGTTAGTGACAAGAATGACGCCCCCCCCCCCTTCTCTCATTTGTGCCCAGCTCTGGGCAAGGTGCTTTCGGGGAAATAGGACATTTCCTGCCTTTGGAGTTTATAAGATAATGTGGGAACTTTGTGGGTTTATTCATTTATTCAACTAGCCAACATCTCATTGACACCACTTACCTGAACAATTGCCTTGGTCCCAGTCACCTCAAGCACTTGCCCACTCCTCTGAGTCCCATCAGGCAGGGTGAAGTTGACGATCTCAGCATATTGGGCAAACTGGCAGAAGGGAGAGCAGCCCAGGTGACAGTGAGACCAGAGGTAAACTCCCTGTCCTCTCCCCACCACTCCTTGATCCGGTCTCAAGTTTCAATCTCCCCTCTTGTGCTCAGACACTCTTAGAAATAAACTTGAGGGGGTAGGAAGTGGGAAATTTGGATCTTTTTGGGGAGGCAGTATACCTGGATGGGTAGGACACTGACTTTAGAATTGGAAGACAGACTAGGGTTAAAACTGAAGCTCTGATGCTTAGATGCTGTGTGACCTTTGGAAGTTACTTAATGTCTCTGAGCTTTTGTTTTCTCATCTTTAAAATAGGGATGATAATAATAATAATAATAATAATAATAATAATAATACCTACTTCACAGGGCTGATGTAAAGAGAAAGTGAGATAATATATGTAAAGTCATTAGCTGGTGTCTGGCACCTTGTAATAGCTCAATAAAATGTAGCAGCTATTATGGTTGTTTAGGTCTCTTGGATGGCACCATTGTTTCCGCCCCTGAGGACTGATGGTGAATACACTGTGCACACTCCAGGTATAAATATCAGGTTCCCAATCTTTGCCCACATCTAGAGGAGGCTACAAGGTTGGCCTGGGAAGCTGGGCTGGCAGAGCAGACCCTCCACACTGACACTGGTCCTCAGCTCTCATCAGACTCAAGAGAGCTCAGTCCTGTACCTTCTTCCAGGGGAAATACTGGAGAAAATGCATAGCATCCTCCAGGCTCCCTCACCTTGCTTCCCAAGCTATTGATTTACTTCAGAGAGTAAGTCATAATCTTAATCCAATAGAAACAAATGGCAAAAAGATGACACCCCTCCCCATGGTGTTTCCAATATTCTGGGAAATCAAAGTACTTGTCTAAATTACCCCTTGGGCGGGCCGGCTAAGAACTGGCTTGGGACGCCAGAGGACCCCAGTTCGGATCCCACATATGAGGGCCAGTGACACTGCCCTCCACAGCTAAGATGCTGAACAACAGCTCAACCTGGAGCTGGGCTGCCGTGAGTCGCCGGCGACGGCGTAGGCTGCAGCCCCTGTGGCAGTGGGTTGCCATGGGCTACCGTGTGTAGCCAGCAGCCAGCGTGAGCGGCCAGCAGCCGCTGTGAGCGGCCGTCCAGAGGCTGGTGACTAATCTGCCTCGCCCGGAAAGAGTGCAATGATGGTGCCAACTTGGGCCAGTGAAACAACGTCCTCCACAACCAGACTGAAGAACAAAACGACAGCAACTTGTCTGTTCCCCTTCCCCCAATTCCCCAGCACTGTTCCCATCCCCCCAATACCCCAATACAAATCTAAAAAAAATAATAATAATAAAAAAAATAAATTACCCCTTGGGCATTAGAGGAAATCAAAACCGGAAGGAAAAATGAAATAAGAAAGAGTGAAAGGGTAGCACTTCATGCCATGACCTATAGAACACATCAAGCTGTACCATGTTTTCTGACTATATTCAACGTAAGATAGAAATCAATAACAGATAGAAAAACTTCATACATTTGGAAATCTAAAAGCATTCTAAATATAGAAGAACATGTAATAATTAGAATACATTTGGTACTAAACAATAATGAAAAACTATATATCAACATATATGTGATGCATGTAGAGCTTTATATTAGAAATGGAAAAAGGCTAGGGAAGCTTAAAAGTATGCAGCTTGAGACATTTTAAGAAGAAGAAAGCTTAAAAGTATGCCTGTATCACCATTGTTACTTAATTTTGATTTGGAAATTTTTGTTTATACAATAAGACAAAAAAGAAATTAAAAAGTATACCAATAAACATAAGTGGAGAATGTTTTATTTTTTTAGAAAAGGTGATGACAGGAGGACACTGTAATCTTCAAAAATGTCAAAGAAAGATTATGGAAAAAAGAGCAGCATTAAAACTCCAAGAAAGAAGAAGATATAATAAAAGAGCAGAAATCATTAATACAGAAAACAAATATGTAATAGAGAAGATCAACAAAGCCAAAATGGTTCTTTGAAAAGCCTAGTAAAATAGACAAGCTCTGGCAACACTGATTAACAACGAGAAAATGCATGAATAAATAATTGTTGGAATAAAAATGTCAAAACTAGCTGTACTAATATTACTAAAAAGATAATGAAAGGAATTATGAACAACTTTATGCCATGTATTTCAGAGCTTAGATGAAATGAATAAAGTCCCAGCAGAACACAACTCAAACCAAAACCAATTAAAAACAAAATAGAAAACCAGAATATTCCTATAATTCTTAACATTTTGGATAAATAGTTTAAAATCTTTCGGGCCGGCCAAATGGCTCAGTTGGTTAAGAGCTCGCTCAAGAGTTTGAGCTCTGAGCAACAGCGGTTCGAGGCCAGCCCGAGCTGAGCAGCCGCTAAGCTGCCAATAGGTAGCAGGATGGCTCAGCTAAAAAAAAAAAAAAAAATCTTTCCACAAAGAAAACACTAGTCTCAGGTAGTTTTACCAGTGAATTCTAACAATAAAGGAACAAATTAGTTTGAAGTTTACTCAAGCTGTTCAAAAGGCTGGAAGAAAAGAATGGTCTTTAAATCATTTTATGAGGCAAGCATAACCTTGATACCAAAATAAGACAATTAAATTATTGGAAACTTATAGGCAATCTCACTCATGAACACAGATGCAAAAAATTCCAAACAAAATTTTAGCAAACCTAATTCAGCAATATATAAAAAACACCAAGCTACATACAAACCAAATAATAAAAGAAAAAAAAATGATGATAAACACACACAACACACAAATAAAAATAATAAAAACGAAGTTGACATTATTCCAGGAATACAAGACTAGCCTAATATTAGAAAAATCTATTTATGTAATTTTCTTATTAGTGGATTAAAGGATTTTAAAAAATCTGTGTGATCATCTCAAAATTTTTCAAAAAAGTTTTAAAAAAGACAATAAGAATTAAAAAACAATAAAAGAAAAACACAAAACAGTGATGATGCAAAGAGACTGTAGTGTTCAAAAATGTCAAAGAAAGGCAATGGAAATGTTCCAGATTTTAGGTGGCTAAACAGACATGATGATTAAATGCAATACCTGACCCTCAGCTAGATCTTATACTGGAGGGGAAAAGAAGCTATAAAAGACTTTATTGGGCCGACTGATAAGTTAAAATATAAATAGTAGATTACATAAACGTGTTGGTGTAAATTTCTGAAGTTGATAACTCTACTATGGTGATGTAAAAGAATATTCTTATTCTTTGTAAATATGCACTAGGATATTCAGGGATAACTTATTATCAAAAGATCTAGAAAAAAATTATGCACACACACATGCACAACACTCAAGGGCAAATGATAGAACAAATGGGATAAAATGTTAACAATTGGGTATATGGTTGTTCCTTGCACTAATTTTATTTTTGCAACTTTTTATAAATTTAAAATTGTTTTGAAATAAAAAGTAAAATTAAAGTATGCCAATAGAAAAAGAGACATAATTCCCTTTACTTGCAGATGATAATATATACATAAAAAAACCAAGAGGCTCTAGTTAAAACAAAACAAAACAAACAAGCAAACAAAAAACAAGAGTAATAAGAGAATTTGGCTGTATACAAGATATATATCTCAATCTGATTTTTTCTGTGCCAGCAATAAATAGAAAGAGGAAATGGAGAAAAACATTCTACCCACAATAGGGCCAAACCTATAAAATATTTGGAAATAAATTTAACAAGAAAGATACAAGAAAATAATAAAATCTTATTGAAGATATAAAACAAGCCCTGAACAAATGAAGAACAATATTAGTTCACAGGGAAAGAAAATAATTGATTGAATAAATGGTGCTAACATAGCTCGGTATCTACTTAGAAGATGTTCACATCAGAAACACAAATACATTCCAGGCATATAAAAATTTTAAATATAAAGCTAAAACAAGCAAACAAAAATCCTACATTTTCTTCTTTCCCTTCTTTCTGAGTAACCCAGTTAAAAGCCAGATAAGAGAGAAGTTTTTAAGCAGACAAGAAACCCAGGAGCCATCAATGAAAATATAGAAATATTTCATTATGTAAACATTTTATTGAAATTTCTATATGGCAAAGACACCATACGTAAATGTGAACAATAAGCAAAAAGCTCCCACAACTCAATCTGTACACCTCGAGGAAGATTTCACAGAGGAGGGAGTGAAATCTAAACAGGTAAAAAGATGCTCAACTCCCCTAGTCATCAGAGAAATGCACACAAAAGCAAGACAGTACAAATTTTCATCTATTTGACACGCAAAATTACAAGAGAGAACATATTCAGGGCTGACAAGAGTGTTGGGAAGGGGGTCCTCTCTTCAAGGTTGGTAGGAATGTGAATTACCCCAACCTTTTGGGATAAGCAACCTTGCCCCAAACTATCAATATCTGTTTGAAAATAAATACACCATTTGGGGGCATCTATCCTATAACAATAAAAGCATGAGTATAAAAAAGATATTATATTGCTGTACTATTTGTAACAGCAAAGCCTGGAAACATACTGAATGTCTATCAATAGTGAAACTATGGGATAAGTCACAGTAAATCCATACTATCGCTTACTACGCTCCTATCAACAAGAATGAGTTAAATGTATCTCTACTTGATATGTTTTAAGAGACTAACACCAATGTAAACCTCTGACACGTGCATATTCGCCCATACACAGCAGGATCTTTACATTGGTTATCTCAATATGTTAAGAGGGGCAGATAGTTCACTTTATGTATCTTTTCTTTGTTTCACTAGTTTCAAAGGAGCATTTTTTTTAATTAAAATGTAATAAAAATTTAGGACATGTTTAAGTACAGTGCAAGTGGTTATTCAGTATCATTCTATCATTATATCCCCTGCTCTTCACAAACTAGTGACTTTAATGGACAGGGAGGTGGGGGTAGAGGGGGATGGCTCAGTTTCCCAGCTGCAGTGTGACCAGCGTGGAGTCCACTCCCCCAGGGCACACCTGCTGGGGTGAAACCTGAGACAGGAGGGCTTGCAGCTCTGACAGTCACTGAGGGAAGCTCTGGCTTGAGCCGCTCCTTGTCCTGTGAAGAGGGTGCCGGGAAGGCGACCTGGTTCTTCTAACCACTCCTCAGATTCTGTGGAGTCGGGGTTCTGGGGGAGAGGGCTCGGCCCCAGAAGAATGCTCTGAGGTCCGCGGATCGGCTAACACCTAGCCGTCTTTGGCTTCACAACCACAAGAGGGAGCCCAAGAGCAAGGATTGCGGGAGTCTGGGAAACAAGTTAACCAGAGTCCTGGCTCCTTTCCCTCTGCCGCTCTCTCTGCCCGGGCTTCCCCATCTGAAACTGCCGCGGGCCTCATTGTCTGCGGAGCTGACGGTGGGCTGCTAACCTCAATAGGAAAATTGCTGGACAAAGCACAGGCCATAGTGGGCCCAAAAGAAATCAGGCAATGCGTCCAATAAAAACCAGGCAGCAGGGTAATAAAAAGCGATCCTTTTTATGTGAGCTTATGTGGGTAAGAGAGGGTGGGAAGAAAAGAGAGTGGAGAGGAGGTGGCGCCCTGTGTGCCCCTGAAAGATGAAATCAGAGAAAATGAACTTTAAGTAGCGGAGCGATTACAGTCAAACATTAAGAAGAACTGTCAGAACCATCACACCCAGGCATGGAGGGTGTGTAGCCTGGGATCCTTTAGACAGAGCCTGCCAGGCTGTGTGTACGCGTGTGTTGGGTATTCCTTTGTGGGGAGGGGTGGTTATAGCCACTTAGAGCAGTGAGCGCAGCAGGGCGGGAGAATTCCAGAGTGCAACAACGAGCTTTTACCCAAAGGAGCCCGGTTTCCCAGCCACAATACTGAGCAAGCCTGATTCGCTCAGCTCTCACTGTTGGTTACTTAAGAGCATCGCAGGGAATGGGGATGGTACAGTGCAACCCATCTCCTCTGCTGAAGATACAACTGAGTTCTCGACCAGCAAGGGGTCAGGCACAGGGGAGCTGCTGTGCACACTCGGAGGACTGGGAAGTTCTAAGCAAGCCTGGCAAGGCTTTGTACCTCGGAAAATCATTTGCAACTGCGGAAACTACCCCCAGAAAAATGCACAAGCGCATGAATACACACCTTCAAAGGCTTACATACAATTTCAAGGCCCTTATTCCCGGGGCTAAGAACCTCTGACCTATACAAAATTCTTCCCCCAAATATTTTTCGGTTTGAGAAGGATGGAAGCAGGAAGCATAATTGTCTGCGTGATTCAATGCGGGCAGAAGGTGGCGCTGTAGAGGAGGAATCGTGGCATTTTGCCCAAGCAACTTTAGAACAGGGAAAGGTAGAGAGATACATAAAGGTGCCTTCTGAACTTATGAGACTATACATTACCGATTCCTTTCCTTCCCTCTGCAAGCCCCGTGTTCTTTGGGTGTCTCCATCACCCAGTTATTCTGTTCTGCAAGAGTTTCAGATGCATCCAGTAATCACAGAGCCATAGGTCTGGGGATCTATCTTCAGTTTCCTAGTCCAGTCCCATTTTACAGTTTAGAAAATGGGTGTCTGCATAGGTTCTGATTCTCCATACAGCACTATGTAAACGGACAGGTATGGTAGGGAGTGTGGTGGAGGTGGGCAAGGGGGCAGAAATTGGCACCATCTGTTTAATCCGGCATTTCTGCATTCCCGGCAGAACCATTGCTAACTATTCTCAAAGGGGAACAATACTAATACATTTATCTGATTGGATCTTCATAATAATCTTATGATCATTTAATAGATGAGGAAACTGGGATTTACAATCCTATATAGAAGGTTCTGACACTTCAGGGAGCATCAGATGGCCTAGAGGGCTTTAAAAGCAGACTTCGGGGTCCCACACCCAGAGTTTCTGATTCTGTCCATCTGGGATGGAGCCCAAGAATCTGTATTTCTAACAAGTTCCCAGGTGTGCTGATGTTGCTGATCTAGAATTGACAGGTAGCTGGCAGACAGGGTGGGATGGAGCTGGGAATAAAATTCAAGAAGCCCGAGTCAGATGCCTGACCCCAGTGCACACACACATAACTATTCCACCACACTTTCCCCCAGAGCGTCCCCAACATTAGTGGGTCAAACAGTAACGTCCACATGAACGTGGAATCTGTTTTCCTGAAATGAGTGGGTCTAATTTCTTTAATATAGTTGGCTCAGGTTTTGACAGGTCCATATTTAGTCATATTAACACTTATTCATTCATTCAGCTTAATTCATCTACTCACCCTTCCTTTGAACAAACTGAGAACCTACAATAATGGGCTGGATGTTTAGTGAAAGTGCAGTGTGGGGCTCTGGGAGCTCAGGATTAATAAAACACCATCCATGTCCAATAGAAGAGCACAGGGGTAAGGGGGTAGGGAGGAGACATGCGGCCAAGTGGTGACCAAATGCCTCGATAGATGCTGCCAACAAGACAGTACACAAAACTAAGAAGAGGGAAAGGCTCCTTGCTAGGGGGGCTAGGAGGGGCTTCCAGAAGGTGAGCTCTCACTTGGTGCTGGAGATGAGTCAGACAGAGGACATGGGGAAAAGGTAGTCAAGGAGGCAGAGGGGAAAGTATGTGCAAAGGCCCTGAGACATCAAGTGGCAGCTGAGCCATGTGTGATTTCCTAAGTGACAAAGGGAGAGTAACGAGACATAAAAGTAGAAAGGTATGTGGAATCCTTATGGAACATAGAGCCTGTGAGATGAGGACACTGGGGAGCCCTAAGTGAGTCTGAGTCGGGGATTGAAGGGGTCACGGCTATATGGCTGCAGGGTGGAGGATGGGAGGGTTCCAAGCCAGGGTCCAGAGGCCATGGCCATAATAATGGTGGGTAGGAGATTGCTGATGGGACATGTGCACTGATGAATTGGTCAGGGAGGAAGGGAGGAGTCAAAGGTGGCAAGGAGTCTCGGTTTCCAGTTTGTTCAGCTGGGGCGTGGGGTGGGGGGATGGGGGTACAACTAGTTAGTGGAGGTGGCAGAACAGCAGAGTGATCTCATACCTTTGCAGAGCTCTTTATGCCTCAAGAATCCCTACCCCAGGACTCAAAATACTGCCAGTGTCTGCCATGGTCCTACGGTCCCCAGGGGACACAAAGTAGCCCGAATCCCATTGTCTTCTGTGAGGTCCACTTCACTTCCCACTCATGCTGCTGGTTCCCAGTCTGGGATATTCCAGAGGCCTTTGAAAGCCTCAAGCTCTGGAGAAAAGTTAGCTGGCAGTGATCTTCCTCCTCTCCCTCCCTTTAAAAGAGCCATGAGAGCAGCAGCTGGGAGAGGCCAGCCTTATGAGAAAGTTAGACACAGCCATTCTACGGGTGGAGAAAGAGGCATGAGAGCCCAGACGTCCCAGCTCACTGGTGGTAGAAGCAGGTCTCCTGAGGCCCAAAGTGGGGCGGGGTGGGGGGGTACATGGAAAAGGCAGGAAGACAGTTGGGGAGGGAGATAGATATGGAGGTAGGTGACAGGGGATTCAAAAGAACAGGGAAGGTGCATGGGGGCCATCTAGGGGTAGGACAATTTACAAGAAATCCTGCAGGGCCGAGTGGCGCGATGGTTAAGAGCTGGCTTGGGATGCCAGAGGGCCCCGGTTTGTATCCCACATATGAGGGCCAGTGACACTACCTTCTACAGCTAAGATGCTGAACAACAGCTCAACCTGGAGCTGGGCTGCCCTGAGTCACCGTAGGCTGCAGCCCCTGTGGCAGTGGGTTGCCATGGGCTACCATGTGTAGCCAGCACTACACAGCCAGCGTGAGCGGCCAGCAGCCGCCGTGAGCGACCGTCCAGAAGCCGGCGACGGATCT